AGCAGACTGAAAACAGAAGGAAATCTAATTAATTATAATTATTACACTTCTAAGAGAAGAGGAGAAGCAGACTTTCTCTCATGATATACAGAGAACAACTTCAAAACTGTTTACACAAATGCTGTGAATTCTGCTGGGTGGGTACTACAAATCCATGTCAGATGTTAACGGAAAGAACAGCGTTTGTCTTGCAAGATGGCAACATGCCACTGTTTTAAGTAACAAACATGCTCGCTGTGGTGCGGTTAGAGCCTGCCATGATCCAAGATGAAAGACGAATGAAGGATCTGCAAGACTGATGTGGGGCTGTGCCAGACGTCAATTTTTGAGTGATCCTTGTCATTTTAAAGACAGACACAGTAGAAACCCAAACGTTATTGGCAATCATTTATCAGAATCATCCAAGAGCCTCTCTGCACATGTGTGCAGAAATTACCTACCTGGTAACAACATCCTTTGTACAGAAATCATTGGATTTATGAATTTCCAGTTGACAGTAATTGTAAAATTAAAATCCAGTGTAGAAGTCTCCCTTGCAGGTAACTCCACATTGACAAAGAGGATTAAGAATATTTCACCTGAGTCTGCAAAAGTGCCAAATATAGCATTCATTAAGCATAGTGAGACTACCCGAGGGTGTTAGATGTCCTCAACCAACCAGTAAACATGGGCACACAGGAGCATTCTGTGGCCTTAGGTGTCTGTGGGGCGTTCAAGGTGTGGAGCCGGAAGATGCAAAGAAGCAGGATCACGGCACAGCTGTCTTCAGTGTATGTTTCGGGCAGCATTTGCCCAGCACAGAACAAGCAGAGGGAGCTGGAGCAGTCCGGGGGCTGCTGGAGATACCACATGCTGCCTGCAACCAAACAAGCTGCATTGTCGGTGTGAAACAGTGGAAGGAGCCTTTTCTGCCTCACCATCACCCCACAGCTTTCACTCAGGCTTGCTCTGAGAGCCCTGCTGAGGAGCTGAGATGCACCAGGCAGGACCTGCGCCAGGCGTCCTGTACCTCTGCTGTCAGGACAAGGCTGCCGTGTGGATGGGAAGCATCAAGCCAGTCTGGGGGTAAAGTAGGCTGGACCCCATTATGCAGTGTGTGCTCTAGTTTTTATATTATGTTTGTGTACAGAAGAACTTGTCAAATGCCAAGCCCTCTGGAGTAAGCCCAGGAAGGGGTTGAGGAGTCGCCTGGAAAGCTGCACCGGGCCAAGAGCCTGTCTGTAGACACAAAGACTTTTTTACCAAGACAACTCACAGTGAAGGCCAGGAGTGAGCTACACACCCTGTCAGTTGGTACATAAGCACATGGCTGAAAGAAATGGACTATTTGGGAGCATAGAGGAAAGGCAAAAAATATGCAGGGAAACAAAGTAATAACAATTAAGGCAATAGGCAAGAGAAATGACTGGATGGAATCATCAGTTGGAAAGCAAAGACAAGTAATGATATGTAACAAGCCACTACATGTTCTTCCTAGGGGGAAGACTGAAAAAAAAACCAGAGGAGAATGGCAAGAAGCCAGTAGCAAACCAACAGCCCAGCAAGGCAGTCCTTTCTAAAAATGTCACCATGGAATTACACAAGAAGCGGCACATGAAGGACATTTGCAGCACTGGCTCAAAACCTTACAATTGGCTATGGATAAGGAAAGCATAAAGCCACTGTTGAAACTTTTTGCTTCTGCTGGCCAAGCTGCGTGTATGGGAAGCCACATTGTCCAACAACTGAAGTTGCCCACCTCGGTGCTGTTTGGAGGTGTGCTGGCACCCCAGACCAGGGGGCAGGACCTGCTCACAGGGCTCCACACACAGGCTGCATTACCTGCAAACAGCCCGTGTTGCTGGAAAACCTCTGTGCTTGCTGATGAGGCCTGCTTGAGCTGTTGGTTAAGCTGAAGCATTTGGGCTCTCCTGCCTGCGCTTTCTAAAGATGTCCAGAGGGGACTTTGCAAAAGCCAGGCAACCCCAGGCTGAGCCTCAGGGACTCGTGCAGTCAGGACTGTACTGTCCCATTCCAGCGGGGAGATGAAGCAGCAACTGTTAGCACTTGTCACTGGATGAAAGCTGCAGCCCTGTACTGGTGTGTCAGGATCCTTTTGACTGTAGCAGCCACGCTATGTCATCATTTATTTCTGAGGGTGGTTTCTGCACGGACTGAATCAGAGCCTTGCGGTGGCCTCCTGGTGCTTCTGGTAGCTGTGCGCTTGGAGTGAGTCACAGGGCAGCCTCAGCTGCACCACAATAACCTGCCAGACAAAGGCTGTGTGTGTCACCAAGCCTGGAGAGGTGATCGGCATTTTACTACAACAGGTACTATTTTATACGCTGGGGTTGTTTCTGAACTGTGAACTCCCCCAGCTGGTGAACGTCTGCTATTACCGTGAGGCACAACCTCCACCCCACAACGTCTCTGTGAGGGGGTACTGCGAGACCGACCCCAAACCTCACCAGCATGCTGCGATGTGCAGTCAGAAGCTGGAATAGCTGCAGAATGATGCGCTAATGTGGCTTACCAAAATGCCTGCCATTTGGGAGGAGGAACAAGGTCAGCTTGGGTTTAAAAATGTCATGCAGCTGGTGGGGTTTGTCTGTTTCACGAAGTCTGAGCACTGCGATTCTGGACTTGAATATGGGAAGAGCCAAATCTCCAGCGGCTGCAGGCACAGCATTTTCTCTATCACTATCCATGAGGGAACATCCCAGCCACTTGGAAGCATGGCTTCAAGGAAAACAGGCACAAAACCTGAGCCATGTCACACATTTCAGGTCCCTTGCACAGTCTTTTGGGGTTTGTCCATAAGAAGCATTATGCATAACAGGTCATTGACCATCCCTGATTTAAAATCCTGAATTAAAGCATTAATTAAATTAATTTAATTAATTCATTATTTAATTCATTATTTATTATTGATATGAATTATCAGTAATTCATTAAATTATTGATTTAATTCAGCATCCCTGAATTAAAGCATTAATCCTGAAACTCACAGAAGAGGCAGGAACACTGCTGCACAGCATTCCTGAGAAGGCAGCGTGTATCAAAGCTGTTCACCTGCTCAGCAGCACACACCTTCTCATGGTCTGAGCTGGTCATGATGTTGTGGTGCTGGAAGTGTCCGAGCCAAGAGTCTGCAGCTAGCAAATGTCATCCTCTGGATCCACTCCCCATTCTTGCAGGCACCTACCTGCTCTAGCACTTGTTGGAGGCTGCCAGGAACCAAAACACCTTTCCAACAGGAAAACGAAACACCTTTGGTTTTGGATCTGGATGGGTTTCTCATGACATCAGTGAGCCAATGCAGGATGCTCAGTGGGAATACAAAGGCAGGAGTGGCATGCTGGGGGGATTGGGATGCAGGCGGGATACATCCCTGCTGGGGATTTGCCCACCCTTGAAGGGAACTCCTGAGTAAAAGTGGAAAGTTGAGATTTGGAGCTCATCTCATGGGGAGCACTGTCTAGCAAAAGCACTACTGTTTGGGCCTGTGAATACAAATTCACAGGAGCTAGTGGCTGACATTTGACTAACAGTTCTCTGCTGGAAGGCAATGAGAGGAGCAAACTGCTGCCTCTCCTGGTACCCTCTCCAGGTACTGGTGCCCTATTCCCCACAGAAATATTTCCTGAGCTCCTGTGTACACTTGCCACGTTATTCTTGGCCAAAAGACATGCTTACCTTTGGCTGAAAATAACCTCTCAACCTTCCTTCAGCTCACTCAATGCAACTGCGCTCTCAGTCTTCCCCTGGGAAACATGGTCTTAATCCACTCATCATGTCTCCGCTGGTTCCCTGGTTTGAAAGCTGATAACATCCAAGTCCGATCAATTTTGCAATGCCTTGTACTGCACATACTTTATGGTAAATGCTTCTCTTGCACACATACACGGCCTTTCTGCTTGCCTGGTGTTGTCACAGCGACTTGGGACAGATGCAGGCAAGGCTTCCCTAAGGGGAAGCTATCCCTCAATAGCACACCTGGCCTGCTGTCTTTCTTAAGGAATTACTTATAGCAAAAGTTAATCAAAAGACACCTGTCTGAAGAGATGTGGGCAGTGAAAAGATCCATGTTATCCCCAACTTCTCATGGTCATCTATGTGATCAGCTCGAGACCACATCATGCTTACCTGCGACTCCACAATATTCACCTCGAGCATGCTGGAGGTGAACCTGATAGGGTAACGGGTAATTCTGTGCAGGTTACAGTCAGCTCCCGTCACCGTCCACATAATATGGCCAAGAACAAGGGAGCAGCCAGAGTGTAGGAGATGTAACCAGAAACAGCCTTGTGTTGTGAAAGAGAACTGCAGAAGCAGCAGTGGCTGCACGTGTGTGGATACCATGTTCAGTCTCTTGTGATAAGGAAGCAGGAGGTGGAAAACAGCACCGGGGACAGAAGGGTCCATCAGGACAGCTGGCAGAAGAGCAAAGGGTGAGTTACCTGACCTTTCCATGACTGAAAAGAAGGCTGTAGCACCTGGTGACCTCCAAGATGGAGGGAGGAAGCAGAGGGAAATGAGTGTGTATATTTGACCAAGGGTGGTAAATGATGAGAGGAGTGCTGGGCAGCGGGCAGGTGTGTCTGTGTGGACCATGGTGTGTGTTACCAGGACATAAGCGAAGCAACTGCCCTTCAGGGATGGGTAGGGCTGGACAGGAATCAAGACCGTGTCCAACTAGCCAGAGCTTCTGGTGGCACTTCAGCAAAAAGAGGTGGTGTGATGGGTTGCAGCTGAAGCACTGGCTTAGCACTGTGGTGTGACTGTGAATGGGCAGCACAGCTCCGTGCCTGCCTGCCCCTGCTGAGGAGCAGGGGGAAGAGGGCAGAGCACCAAGAGCACCACACCAGGCCATTCGCCCTGCCCTGCCTGCTGCCCACACTGGGGGACCTGGGGACACACAGCTGCCCTGTGCCCCTCCACTGAGCCCGCACGCCACCCCTCGCCAACCCCACAAAAAGGCCAGGCCCAGGCGGATGTATACAAAACCTGAAATAGTTTACTTTGCTTTCTTTTTTTTTTTTTCTTCCCTTTTTTTTTTTTTTTTTAAACTTTGCTCTAGGTTTACTTAGATTTCGTGAACTTGATACAAGAGCATTTGATATGAATCGGTAAATAAAACACCGTCATAGATAGATAGCCACGATAAACTTTGTTAGAAATGTACATGTCGCGAAAAAATAATAATACTAATAATAATAATCATAATAAAAAAAGCCGGCACGACGCCCAGGCCGGCGCGGCCCTCACGGCCCTCGCCACGGCTGCGGGTGGCTCTGGTTCCCCGCGGGCGCCGCACCCCGGTAATGTGTGTATATAAACAAAGCCCATAAGAAATGTACAAATATAAAAAGCTACAAACATTAATAAATTACATCGTCACAAAACACGGAAACACTCCACAAGGTGCTAGTAAAATAACTGTCTCCCTCCTCGTACAAGAAGTTACGCAAAGAGCTGGTACGGGCCGCTGCGGCTGGCGGCGCCCGGAGAGACTTTCCCCTTATAAAAAACGGGTGGTCGTTATTCCAAAAGCTATGTACAAGCTACATTCTAGGAAAAGGATGCCTCAGGAGACGCATCTACACGGCAGCCAGGCACCGCCGCCCGCCCGCTCCCCGCCGCCCCTCACCGCCTCCCGCTGCTCAGCGCCGCGGGGCCGGGCCGGGGGCGCGTTAACTTTTTGCGGACTGGTCGCTCTCAGCACTCTGAGAAAGGACATCTATATTAAAAAATATTTATAGCAGGATTCTGTACACTCCAACCGCTGAAAGTTAAAAGGGTTGCCGTCGTGGTGGCCAAAGTTAGGTGGCAGTAGCCCGGAGGCTGCTAGAGGAGCAGCTTGCCATTCCGGTGGATCTTCAGGATCTTGCCGAGCCGCTGCTTGGCCGTGGCCATCCCCTTCTTCGTGCGCTTTCCTGGAGGGAGAGCGGGAGTGGGTGAGCCCCAGGGCGGCTCCAGCCCTACACAAAGTGACCCTCCAGCCCCGTACCACTGCTGCCTTCCCCACAGGAAGCCCAGCCCCATCCCAGCACCTCCACGAGGCCACAGCCACCCCACAAGCCTGGGGCCTTGCACGCTCCCACCCCAGTTCCCCGGTGCACCAAGCACAGGAGCCAAAGCGGCACCACCGCAGCTGTGGCGCGTCCCGTCACACACCTGGGGCACCCCCACAGTGCCAGCCCTGCTGTGCTGTGCCCTCACCCAGCCCGCATGCATCCCAGCTCATGGCTTGTGGGTGACCAGTTTGCCCCCAGCATGACAGTCCGTCCAAACCCAGTGTCCTCCAGCACTGCCCCACCGGGGAGGCTGTGCTCACACAGGCACCCAGCAGGCTGTAAAATGCTGCCTGCCTTCACCGTGGGCGTGCACACACCCCCAGGACCTCTGGGCACCTCTCTACTGTTCTGCACACACTCAAGGGGGAATGTGTAGCATGGGGACACAGTCTGGCACCTCACTGGCACCAGTCCACGTACCACTGTGGTTCCTTGCCCTCTCTTTCCCAAGAGAGACCATCTGCATCCAGCCTAGGCACAGGCTGCTGAACAGCTGCATGTACCAGTGCACGCACACACACACACACACGCACGCACAGACATGCACATCTTTACAGATTTAGGCTAACACCAAGGCACTACAAAGCACCTAACTGGGACAACCTCCCCTATCCCCACACTCAAGAAAGAAAAACACCACTGTGAGCCCTTGCTCGTGGGCTGTGCCATTCAGGAAGGCCTGTGCTCTCTGCACACTTGTCCTCAGAGACTTGTACAATTGTCACAGCTGATCTCTACCCCACCTCTCGCCAGCTACTACCTTACAGCCAGAAACACTGTGAATCTCCAAGGTATCTGGGACTACCTAGCACTCCACAAACCCACAGAGCCATTTCCCTGCCCGTAATGCTGTCAGTGCACTCACAGTGCAACACCTGCAAAGACTGGTTCCTCTCCACTTCTCCTACCTGCATTGAGTGCTCCAGCCCAGAGGGCAGGTGGTGACCTTCCACACCATACCTTTTCTCAATAAGAATGTGCTTCTACAGCCACAGAAGACTGGCAGCATACCAAAGCAATTTATAGTTTCTTCATTTCTCATCCTTTTGCCTCACTGTGAGTTGTCTCCCTTCCTGAAATAGTCTGAGAGCTCCCTGACTCTGTTTCATCCCACCTTCTCCTTCCACAGTCCCTTCATTCCCAACCTGTTAGTTCCCAAGCTCCGGGATCTCCTGTGCTCCATGCAAGAGAGATGCCCTGAAGTCCCCTAGGTGGCCCCAGCTGACTCAAGGCCCTTCACTGGAGGCTCTGAATGTGCTCCTCTCACTCAATGTCAGGCACGTACTCTTGGCACATGGCTCCTTCCCTCCTCTGAGGACTGAGCTATGTCACGGCAAGGTGTGATCCACGTGCCTGTTCAGGCTCCCTTCACGATGACCTGACTGGGCACCCAGCTCACCTGCCAGACCAGGGCCTGGCTCCATTCAGCACTCCTCTTCCCATCACATCTTCCATGCTCTTGGACCTGCTTTATTCACGTTACCATGTCATCACAAAGACACAATTCCAGGCAAATACTTTCATTTCACTCTGGTTCTGCAGACAGCTACAGGTCTTGCCAGCTCCTGACAGAGCCCTTGGGCCTATAATGGGCTGTACACATCCTCCTGTATGGCCCATTCAGCTGCCCTGATGTTTTACTGGGGCTGCAGGACACTACACGCTGCCTCTGATTTGCTCCACTCAAATGCAGAATACTGGAAACGTCTGCCACATAGCCTCACTTTTTACAACAGGGCCTCTCCCAGTGGGATCAAGCACTTGATCTTCACCATACACAGTGCACTCGACTGGAGTTTTTGCCTGTCCCACACACCTGCCTTCATCGTGCTTTCTCAGCACAGTTCAAGCAGAGAACAGAAGGCCCCAGCCCAGCCCTGGCTTTCCCTATGGCAGACAAGTGACTTCTTCCTCTCTTGGTTTTGTTTGCGTGGCTGTGTTACTCCCAAGGTCTGACATTCCTCTGCTCTTTTGTTGCAACAGGATTGCAGATTTGCACTACTCTACACGCGCTGGGCGGGACGTCCTCCTTTACAGGTACGCACAGGTATTGCACAACCACTAGCCGACCTCAGCAGTGCCTGACCCCGCCCTGAGCAGAGCAGCCTTTATGGATGCATCCTCCCCTTGACAAGGCTTCACCAGACGGGCTGGACTGTGACGTGGCCACTGCATGTCCTCCTCAGGAACCCTGGGGCATGCTCAGGAGCGTTTCCTAGCACAGGATGCCTCACTCCCTGCAACAACAGCCCAGCAGCAAGGCACAAATTTGGGCCCACACTACCAGGGGAGCCAAGGCCATGGGCTAGATCTCCAACCAGATCTGATCTACCAAAACAATTCTACAGACCCATGACAAACATAATACGTGAGGGCCCTGCAAACGGCATGGATTACATGACCAAATCACCCTTCCCCATTCCTAGAGCGTAACCCCAGGCGTTTCCTGGTACCTTTGGCGGAGGCATTGTTCTGCGAGGATGATGAGGGTCTCCTCTGTGTGAGGAAAACACCGGGTGCCATCGGCTGTGATCCCCTGTTAGGCTGGGCGACCCCAAAGGTGCTGGCCCCTGCGGTGTACTCGTGATCTGTGAGGCTGCTGGCATGTGACTCCAGCTTCGGCTCTGGCGAGCTGCCTTCCTGAGCCGGTTTGTTCGCGTTGTTGGTTGACAGCTTCTTTTTGGTATTTTTTTTCTTCTTGCCTTTTTGTTCCTCCTTTAAAATGACAAACATGAAGCTCATATTAATCCCCAGAAGACCTTTAGCTATGGCAAGGGCCAGCGGCGTTGCTTAGGGTCCTGATACAATGAAAAACAATGGAGTTTGCCATGTACAAACTGCTCAGTCTGTTCCGATACCATCTCTCTCACAGATCTCTGCCGCATGCACACGCTGCCTTTCTTGCCTCTCTGTGCTTTGTGCAGAGCCTCCTTGCTTGTTAACTCTGTGCACACTGCGGCGAGTAGCAGCCAGTCAGGACCAAAACGACCCTGCCTTGGGAGACCAGCGTGGTTTTGCATGAACAAACCTTTTGAAGTTCCACATAAACTGGCATCTCCTATCTTCAATCTTCACACACTTTCACAATAGCATGGAGGATATTAAGCACCCCACTTATTCATAGAATCTGCTTCCTGCTAAGACAGACATTATCTCACCACCTACAACTGCACATCATGAGAAAAGTGGTCTCTCACCATCCTGTTTCCCTTGCCTACCTTCAAATCCACTTCTTGTTGAAACCCTGCTACTGTTCTTGGAGCTCTTCTACCTAACAGCACCCATCACAAAAGCGCAATGCCACCAAAAGCCACAACTCCAGCAACTCCAGCATCTCGCCAACCTGGCTCCAGCAGACCACATCACCTTCACGCCTTGCTCTGTCATCTTTGTGGGGCCCAAGTGCATGAGGCACTTAGCATCTATATAACACCTCCAGAGACCAAAGGACACTTACCAACACCCAGAAATGCCTCAATATCTTTGTTGAACTGACATGAGCTATCCTCGGTTCACCAAAGCTTTGAGAGAAAACCCTAATGCTTCCTAGCAGCCGATTTCCACAGACAAGGCAATCACACCAGTCAGACTCTCAAATGCACATCAATACACCGTTCTCACACACTCCTTTCAGGGACCCTCCTTCTACCATTAGCCTGCAAGGTAGCCGTGGTTGCTCTCTCATGCTTTTCTGTACTTCTGACACACTGCCTGCCCTGTGCTGTGGCTTTGTCAGGTATGCTGCAACACTACAGGACTTTCCTCCCGTTTATTTCACCTGAGACTGATGACCCTTGTGTTACTGACATGAATAAACCCTAAGAAGGACTGACACTGCTGCTATTTGGGCGTGACTTTGCTGCTTTCATGTCCTGACAGCTACTACTTCCCAAGCAACCTCACCTGCTGTGACAGCTTTGCGGCAGCAGCGGCAAGTCCGGTTTCAATGGAGGCGACTCTTGTACCCTCTCGCACCGGTCTGTCCTGTCGAGGCACCGAGGGGCCGACTCGTGCTGCAAGGAAAGCAGGTGCAGGTGAGACACAGGCAGTGTGGGCCCAGATGAGCAGCACAGCCACACTGGGCAGCCTCCTAAGCAGGAAGAGCCAGGGATGCCACAGCCTCTGCTCTTCCTTCCTCCCCAGGATGTGTACGAAGGAAGTGCTGACAGCCTCCACCCAGTCACAGTGGTTTGGAGAGAAGCTGCCAACAAAGATATAACACAGCCAAGTAACCTCACAGGCAGATGCAGCTACCTGAAGCTGAAGCCATGGGAGATTTCTGCCTACTACAGGTAGTATGGAGGAGTCCAGCATCGTTTCCAAATGGACAGCGTTCACCGCCCCATCTGCTGGGGATGGACATGCAGTGCCACGAGCTGAGACACTGCTTCTTTGTCACACACAGCAAGCTGTGGAGACTCCCCCATTAGTGGGCCATAGCAAAGGGGGGTCTAGGAACCCCCTAGCCTCTTATACTGCCTCTGGTGAGCCACAACAAAAACACCTTTCCAGACCATCAGCTTTGGCCAAACCCAGAGGAGACCATTCTCACATTCCCTGTCATTTCTCTCTATGTGGTCAACACCTAAAAGCCAGGGCTACTCAGCTGTCTGTGGTTTCACAACTACGCCACTGCTAAGGTGGCCACCAATCATTCCTTCACCAAGAGCACGAAGGAAAAAAACAACCCATCCAGGAACGACTTTTTCCTGCTGGTTGATGGCAAAAGGCTAAAATTGGTCAGCTGAGTCCCAGCACATGAAATCACCTCCCATTGTGCTGGAAAGAATTAATCCTTCACAATACAGAGAAATTGCTAGTTGTGGTCTTACAGTTTCCACATTCCTTGAAAAATGGCTGGCTCATTAGGTACCTGCCTGACTTAGTCTGAGTCTGGGTAGCACAGATTTTATGGACTTACCTGTTGGGCTATAAGGGGCATCATCTGAGCTTTTCCTTTTCTTTGACCGAGATTTGAATACTGGATTATCTTCATCCGATTCAAGAGAAGGGTAAACTACAGTAGGAAACAAAGAGGATACTTTCAGTGTGGGGACAGCTCTGTGCTGCACACAAGTCCACTTGCTCTATACAGTTATGGTGCCTGCAGGCATCACAGCTCAGAAGAGCTATGTCCCCCAGAGGTAACGCTGAGTGGTGACACAGCTGCAACAATCAGGAGACTTTCTCTTGCTCTCATCTACACACTGCATTTTAGAAGTTGCTGTCATTACACTGCAACCAGCTACTTTTAGGATACACAGATAAACTTCTCAAACAGCAAAAAGCAGTCTTCATCTTGTCTGTGTAGTGGCAGCACAGCTGTAAGAGACACAGACAAGTTTCTTTATCCCAAGCTAGACTGATATTGAAGACATGCCAGTACAATTCTCATAACCCCTTGCAAGACAAGATGTGAATCTTCATGTGTCAAGGAAACACGTGTAGGTGCGTGGGTACTCCTGCCATGAGAGGAGCTTCTACCTTTCTTCAAAAGCTTGGGAAAAAGTGAGCCACGCTATGATTCACAGGGAGACAGCCACCTCTTTGTTAAGGGACTGGTCTTTGGACTGCATGGAAGGACTTGGTGCCATGTCTCAGTTTTTTTCCTGTTCCCATGGGTTTAGGTTTTGCCAGATGCAAGCAAGCCTTGCTTCACATTTTCAAAGGAGGCTCTCTCACATGCACAGTATGATATCAGGCCCAGTGCTAACACAGCTTGCAGATAAGTACCCTGGTCACTTGATACACTCCTAAAGATCCTACAGACCTCCCACAAACTCCTATCCACAACAACTTGGCTAAGATATGTGTGATCTGCCATGTATCTCTATCGCAGTAGCAGTGCTCCTACTTATGACTTAGCACGGGTATGGCCCACTGATATTACCAGGCACAGACAGCTGTCACAGCAAGGAGACATGCAGGAGAGATCACATCTTGGCTCCCACACTTGATTTCTGGTGTCTGTAGGGCTTTTGCATGTTCATGGCTATCTGAACAGCATCCTCGCTGGACAGCAGTACCCACAAGTGCGACTCACACCGCAGTGACTCATGGTTCCCTTCATGCACGGAGCAGACCAAGGCAGATTCCTTTACTGCCACATCCCCTGCTCTTCCCCCAGGAGCAGGGAGCAGCCTTTACTAGGAAGCCTGCCTAGTGCAAGCAGAATTACCAGTGCCAGGGAAGCCAACCGCTTCATTTGGCACCTCACCTTCCTGGCCCTTGTGACTCCAGCACAGTCAGGCAGAGAGAAACAAGATGACGTACCATTTGTGCTGACCTCAGAAACTGTTTTCCTTGATTTACTAGTGGCCAAGAGGTAAATGTGAACCATTCTACCAAAGGACCCTTCAAAGGCCTCAGGGATAAAACATCACCTGATCTAAACTTTGCCCCAGCCTTTACTGCGAAGTTTTGTTTGTTTGTGTGAGTACATTTTTTAACAGGCATTTGATTTTCTTGCCCGTTGTCATTTGTTACATCAGTAGTGATTTTACCCTTACTGTGGCCTTTGGCCATTGACACTGTAAGTCTGCTGATTAGATGTGGAACAGCAGAGCCTTTGGAAACCAAGCCTGCTCACAACAAAGGCTCTCCATTCAGTCGCAGCACAGATGTGTAATGAGCAAATCTGCCCTTCAGCAGAACAGAGCGTGGCATCTGCTTCATGGAGCTGCCCTTTCTCAAAGCACCTAGCAGCACCACCACTGCATCGCAGAGCACTCTAAATGGCTGGGCTGCCTTCTGCAACATGTCGCAGCACCTCCAGTTTGCCTTGGTATTTCAGAGGGTGAAAACACATGCTATTTTTCTAGTCATAACATGATTTCTGATGGCCATGCTTGCCACAAACCTCTACTTTCTTCTTGTCCCATTCAGGGCTTCAGGTTTTCCAGTTCCTATCAATCCTCACATTATTATTTTCTTCCTTTCCTCACTTCTTATATTCAAAATTGTTCCTGCAAATTATTATGGTAGAACTGATATAACTGGTGCAAACTGGCTATGTGCCCACTTCTGCTTCAGATGCTTACTTTCTATGCCAACACTCAAAATACCATAGGAACCCTTCTCCAAGTACAAATTCAGCTTCTCACTCAGCTTGCCTAGACATTTTAGTGTTACTGTGCAGAGAAGGACATTCCTGTCATAAGTACTAGTACCTGACACACATTTTTGGGACAGTTCCCCATGTTTGCTGGCGGACTGCCACAGTGTCAATGTGTTTCCATGCTTTTTAAGATCTACTGGTAACACCATGTCTCAAGTACAGTCTAACTGGATAGTTATATCACCACCGGTTCTGTAGTCAGTCTACCTATTATGGAGTGTTTGCTTAATTTTGCAGTGCAGACCTCTTGTTTATTACATTCTTCCTTACTAACATTTTGATATTTCAGTGCAACAGACCACATGAAATTGAAAAAGCATCCCATGAGAAACACAAGGATTATTTGTAAATATGCACACGCATACCCAGGCACACACACAACTCAGACTGCTTCGCGTGTACGTACCGTAATCTGAATCTTTAAAACAGGCATCTAAATGGTCCTGATCTTCATCGTAATCTTCAATGTCAATACTGTTTTTTGTGCTTTTCTTTAGTAACCGCTTGCCAGCATTTTTGTTACTACCACCGCCTGTTTTTTTAGAGTTCTGTGTGGAGATGGAGTTATTCTTCGCCTGATTGGTACCCCAGGATGCCTGGAGGCAGGAATCTGATGACTGGAGGTTTGCCATCGATAGCATGCCCTGGATTGCTTCTTGCGTGCTGGGTGAGGCAGGTGGCTGACTGCAGGAAAACATTGAGAAATACAAGAGCTATTAGCGATTCCATGAAAACACAAACCCCTCTCAAACAGTTGACTCCTTTCACCTCGCAGTGTTGCTAGAAGAAATTTCCTGATTACTGTGCTTTGAGCAGCTGGGCATGCCACAAGTGACAACAGTTGTTTTTTTTATGTTAACAGCAACATCACAGTGCATTAGATTTGGGGTTACTGTAACAGTAACCTCTATAACTGTATTCCCAGCAACACAACATTTGTACTACCCAACCCTGAGGATGTCACCCCAACGCCTTACACACACATCCCAAATTCCCATCCTCCTACAATGGAGCTATGACGGGTGAAAACCACATTGCTTTCACTGACCTGAACGATGAGACCCCTGCTGTTGGCCAATACCCTTGCAAATTCATTTCAGATTCCTCCATCCCCTCCTTCACATGACTATGTATGAAAGCGAAGCCTGAAGAGGGCAGGGAGCAGTGGTAAGGGGGAACTGCACATGGACCATGACAGTGGGCAGGCTCTCTGGCACCCCTCGAGAAGTGACAGAGCTCAGGAGAATGGAGAAGTCTGGCTGTGGTGACCAAGCTACCACATCACATGTGACTGCACGAAGAAGGCGGGACAGCTCACACCAGGGGTGCTGCTGTGTGTGGGCACGGGAAACGCAGGCTGTGCCCTCTGCAGTGAAACAACCAACAGGCAGCAGTGCTGTTGTGGTGGGCTTCTGTTATGTACTGCCAAGCAAGTGGAGAAAGGATCCAAACAATGGGAATGAAGCTCAGGTTCACATGCCACAGCTCTCAGTGGGGACGTTCACTGCCCCAGGACCGTCAGAAGAGCAACACGATGGGGCACAAGCAGATCATGAGGTTTCTACAGTGCCCTGGGAGGTTTTCTGATGTGTATGTGGGGAGGACTGATGATGGGAGGTGCTGGACAGAGGTAGGACTGGATGAGTGGGCTACAGGAGAGGGAAACCTTGTTCACATTGAACTTGCTTTTTGGCATTTTATTGCCAACTGCCAACAAGCACTGTGCATCTACTATAGAAAACAACATATTCCTACAGAGTAGGCTGAGGTTAAATGATGTGTAAATTCTGACTGGCATGTACACTTAAGCAAGGTGGCAAAGCATGTTCTTCATGATACCGAAGAATGTAGAAGAACACTAATCTCATCAGGAAACATCAGACATTAATTCTGCAAAAACACAGAACGCATCATCAAGTATTTCCAGAAGTTCTGGCAAACAGTGAAATGCCAAAAAAAGAAAAGATATTTGAACAGTTATGCAATAGAAGCCACTAACGTACAGCATTTCCCAAGTAAATTAGCAATACCACATCACTTTCTCTCATTTGATCTTAATTTAATCCACTTAAAACCATTACAAGACTCTAGATAGAGTAAGACTCTAGACATAAAGGGAGTTTCTGGGCACTAATTGCATTTATAAATAATCCTGAAAATGAGTTAGGACTGGTGTCAGCAGCTTGCAACTCAAGGAATAAAAGAACATCGAAACATTTATTTAGTGAAGAGACATTTTAATCCCTTCATTATCATGCCAGATGCCTTAGCCTTCCCCCTGACAAAGGCATATTTCACACCATCTATAAGAAATTAACATATTTTCTTTCCATTTTTCCCCCCAACAGTTTTTGCAAACACTGGACTCCCAAAACAGTGCAAACAGACCATCAAAAACTGACCACTAAGTGGGTAAATCAGAGAGGAACTGCCTTAAGCAACACAAGCTTCAACAAATAAATTGTGGAATATGATCAAAACCAGTGGTTCTGAGAGTCAAACCACAACGTGAACGTGTGGGTAAAATGTCTTAAAGAGACAGAGCTGCACATGGAGCAAAGTGTTTCTCATTAGTGCTTGCCTGTGCTTCTATTAGAGGTATTTCAGCTTTCTAAGCCAAAAAAAAAAAAAAAATCAGAAAGAATCAGGAAGCAATTTTTAAACTCTGGGAGGACTTATCCCCTTTTTGTAGCTTCAGCAATGATCTTATATATATATAACTATATATATATGAAAGTAAACTGACCATGAGTTCCAACTTTAACTTAAAAACAGTAAATATGGGAGCAGAAGCAGAGCAACCAGCATCCTTCTGCCCCTGTGCTCCCTTCCAAGCAGTTGGCTTGCAAGAGCCCTTCGAGCATACAGCAAGGTGGCACTTGGTGCTAGCACAGACCCTGCCATGGCTTATCAAATCCCAGCAGTCTTGCTTTCCTTTCCACAAGCTAAAAAATAATTTAGTGGATGAATAGAAAAAAGGACACTAATTGACTAGCAGTTCGTGCCTTTTGCAGTGGGCTCCCCTTGGGGGATTCTGTTGTAAAGAAACTCTACAAAGAACTGGAGTGTTAGTGTTCTCAGGGTTGCCCGAGTGAGGAAATGGATTACTGCAATAACCATTTGCTGCCTAGCAAGCAGCTGGTGTTTTCAGACGCATACAGTGCAGGAACTAAGAGGTCCACACTGGAAACTGCCAGCCCTGCCTGTAACCCCAGGACAACGAAGTAAACCTTGGTGTAGCCGTGACATGTGCCACAGGCAACAGAAATGCTCAGATGGCCAACAGGGCATGGCCATGAGGTGGCTGCTTCAGCCACCCCCTGGGGCCAGGCTGTGGAGGCCAAGCCCGAGGCCTGCCAGGCCCGGCTCCCACCTGGAGCTCACAGGGAGCTGCTGCTGCTCACAGCAGGTGGAATTGGCAGCAAGTTTGCACCGTGTTAACAGAGAGCAGCACTGTAACAGAAGGGAAAATATGTTGCTAAAACTCAGCCCAAATAAAAGGACTGATCCCAGGACTGATCAGCCTGCAGTGCATCCAGTCTGATGGTGTGATGAAGAGTGGGGAAGGGGAGCTCCCCTCCGAGGGAAGCCAAGGAAGGACACGTTGGTCTGCACAGCACAGATGGCGTGGTGCCCTCCTCAGTGCTACCTGCAGCTGTTTGCTAGGATGGGTTTAAGCCTAGGGGCCTTAGAGCCCCAGAACAACTTGCTGTTGCTGGCAGTGTCTTCATCAGGGAGGAGTGCACAGAACATCCCTTCAGGCTATGCTTTAGGGCTTTCGTGCTGCCTGCATTCCCCTCCTAGACTTGACAAGAGCATCCTTTCCCTGGCACTACACACCAGAGCAGGTGGCAACAGGCAAACAACTGTGGTTGCTGACAGGAATACACACAGCTCAGCACTGACAGACTAAGGCTTTGCCTCCCTCATTGGGGCTGGCCCCTCTCCACTACCGCCATCTCTCTCTGAGGGTCCAACATCTCTCTTGAGAGGTCATCTTCCTTTCAATAAGTAATTACCAAACCTGTTACCTCTATTCTTATATTTAGAAATTGAATGTATTCATTTTGTTGGAATACAACTCACTGAATGCTGGCCTTTTCCCTGTTCTCCACACTGCCTGCACAGCGGCTGGAGGTACTGAAGGGCATGGGGGAGAAGAGACAGTAACCTTACTAACATTTTGTCTCGCCTCTGAATAACTACTGCTCAGTCTCATAACTGGGGGAAAATAGGTAAGAGCAAAGGAAAGTCACAGGAACCATTGAACATTTTCTAAGTGGAAATACCTAGTTTGACATATGAACTGCCTCATGGGGTTACAGAGCAGAGGAAGCCAGATCCTACTCGGAGGTGCACAGCAAAGGATGAAAGGCAGTGGAGGGGAAATCCCAGCCAGCCACAGGAAAAAAAGGGCCATGCTGAGGGTGGCTGAGCAGCTCACACAGAGAGGTTGCAGAATCTCCATCCCTGAATATATCTAAAACTCACCGAGGCAATGCCCTGAACTACCAGGTCACACTATGCAGCTGGCCATGCTCTGAGCCAGCAGCTGCATGAAATGACTTCACAAGGTCCCTTCCAATTGCCATTGTTCTAGAATACTGCAAATAAGAACTGATGCATGAGAGGGGGAGGTAATGAATCACCATTTTCCCTACATGATAGTTTTCCTGTCATTTCTGCATTTCCCTCATCCTTCCCAAGGCAAGATGGAAATGAACTACAAAGAAGTGAAACAGAGACATTAATGACTTGTCACTATTTTGGGGAAGTGACAAATGTATAGAACTACAGGACTTAAATAACTTCAAGCACAAAAACAGTATTTTCATCCATATTTTACCAGGCTTGGGAACAAGAAACAATTCCACTGAGTTCAAGATCACATGACTACTAGTCTCCTCAACTTTTTTTTTTTTTTTCCTATATTCCATTTCCCTCTTTTCAGATTGTTTCCACATTTATGGCAGCATTTCTGCAGAACCTCTCTCCTTGTCTCTCCTCATTTTGCTACCATTGGCACAAGTGTGGGAGAGCAATCTAGGTAAAGCCATCAGGACATTTGTTTTGGTCAGTTGCATGACAATCTAACATTTTACAGAATAAAGTTGCACACTATTCATGCGAGGTCATTAACACACAAAAAGAGCCCTAACCTGCTTCCTAAGTTACCGCTGCAGTTCAGCAGCCCTGGTGCTGGTCTGATAGGACTCTGTGCTTCCCCTTGCAGAGCTCACCCTCATCTGCACAGATCACCATGCAAGCAGAGGACATCCCACACAGACTTTACTGCACTATTACATACTTTATATATCATAGAATCACAGAATTGTAGGGGTTGGAAGGGACCTATATATATACGTGTATATACATAAACACATATATATATGTAGTACATATATATGTACTACATGTACTACCCTTTACCTGCCTTACAAGTAGGAAAACAAACTAGAGAAACATGGAAATTATTTCTGTGAGTCAGGCAGGACCACATTGGCATTACGTTGCAACACAGTTTGTTTGCATATCAGGTTTCTTCTTTTTTAAAGAAGCACGTTATGGCTGTTTAAAAAGCCTAGCATAATTATGAAATGAAACACAGTAATTTCATTTATCAGGAGCTTTTTTCAATCAAGCTTCAACACACACTGCCAAAACCTAATTGTTTATACAAGAACCAAAATTGATATGACACATTCCCACTAAACTACCACACACAGTGTAGTAATTCATGCGGAGTTTAGTTATGTGACTGCCTTTGCGACTTTGATTTCAGAAACCACAAAGTCTACAAATACCCTGGATACAGAGCCCAGGTTGAAGGGAGGAAAAATGAAAGGCCTGAGTCCTACTCTGTTACTGAATGGCAGTTTTAACCCATTGCAGACAGCAAAAGACACAACCAAAGAGAGATAATCTTTGAGGAACATTCCTTTAACCTGTATTTCAGCTTACCTCTGTATATCTGCACATCACAAGTAGGCAATGAACCACACTGTATGTGAAATAATTAGAACTGTAAACATGGCCAAGACAAATTTCTTTAATTCTTAAAATGGCTGGCATTTTCTTCTTTTATATGGATATTCATGTATGGGAGTCATATTACACAGGCAACCTAATTCCCAGAGTTAGATACACCTAACTACCTGCCAAATGTCTAATTACCTGCCAAAACGTAAGTGTAAATTTGATATAAACTCTAGTTCCATTATGCACCATAATACAGAATGAAAAAGGAATTCAGAGGAACAGCCAAACAGATAACAAGTGCCAATGTGATTATTTCAGTGTTTTTTGAAGAGCAGACAGGGCCAAATCTCAAGAGATCAGGAAAATCTAGAAGCACTGACCCATCTGCACTCAGACAACAAAAAAAACATTGTATTACCTGGGAGCTGCAGACACTTTGGTACCTCTCTCCATACCCTCTGCAATCACTGGTTTTGAACAACCACTCCTTGCTAGAAGGAAGGCAGTAATGGAAGAAAAATGGCACTAAACTGAAATCATATCTCTTCCCTAGAAATAACAGTCTTGTCAAGATAAGCCTCCTAAGGACAGTTACTACGTTACTTGTTTTTAAAATCATTGGCTTTTTTCACCTGCAGTTCTGCTGTGTGACACACCCCTGGAATGAGTACCATGGGAAAACATTAGGAACGAGCAGAAAACTCTTACAGGAGACTTCGCATACACACCCCTGTTCAATGCAGAGATGAGGATCTCCTGAATGAAGGCAGTCTGTATACTATGCTTTAATCTCCTGCAATTATCTGTGTTGGGAAAGAGACAATTACCTAATAAATGGAGAGAGGTCAAAACATCTGCTTCAATAACCCTCTCGTTTCTCTGCTGCTCTGTCACCAGACCACAGCCTTTAAAAAAAAAATCATACTCTCTCCCAACATTTTTTTTTTAATCACTGATAAAATTCACTTTCTATGGTTTCCTTTGATAACTTATTCCATATGTTCCCCTTTGACCATGAGACATATCTTTTGGAATCCACAGTTATGGCTTTTAACTTCCAATCTTTCCCAGGTTTAGATAATATCTTCCTCTCTGATTCCACTTTAACAGGTCCTTTCAAATTTGCAAGCTGCACTTTTCCTGGGTCACACACACCCAACACCCAGCAAGGGCACAGCCTGGGTGAGAAGGACAGCACCAGGCTCCCTTTACCTAGTGTTTTATCCTACTCTCAGACCAACTACCACCACTACTACTTTCTGCACAGGTTCTGTGGGTTTGCATAAGCAAGGCAGACCTAAACAAAGCAGGGAAGAAAAAGATGCTGTTAGCGTATCCCAACAACTACTTAGCTCTGCTGTGTAAAGCAGATTGGTTTTGCTGCTTTGCACATATAAGCGGCAAAGATCTACTTAACCAGCAGATTGCTAGGGAGCACAGGACATAGGATGCAGCAGTTCACATCCGCTGGGCCATTCTGTGCATGTTAGCTGTAAACTCTGATGTTCCTAAAACACTTTTCCAGGGCTCTGTTCCCAAAGTTTGAATTAAGCAAGACATTTCCATATGTGAAGAGTCCTATTCTGATTCTTTTGAAATGGCACGCATACCCTAATTCTTCTATCTGTAGTTTATGATCAGACTTGGCACATAAAGAGTGGAGGCAGTGAACTCAAGCAGCATTCACTGAGCAGAAAGCTCCTTTTGAATGATTCATCTATTATAGTATTATTGCTAAAATGGATGTTCAGCATTTACAGATGTGAAACGCCTCTATTTGTTTAAATTATACCACTAAAATCTTTCCCACACACTTTTCCACCTCTCCCTCCAGATCACAGGATAAAGGAAGAATTTGCTTACTGGAGAAAAAGCAGTGACTGAGCTGCGAAGTTCATTCTCTCTCCCTCTCACACACATAACCACAAAAGAGCAATTCTTGTTTACAGGTAAGAGCAAAAAAAAAAACCATCCCTTTGTGCATACCTGTTGGTGTTATACTCTAAACCCCCAACTTCCTTGCTTGCCTGCAAAAGGTCAAGAATTCCTGCTGAACTTCCGCTCTCTTTCTTTACTTTGGAATTACGCCCTGGCTTTGCCTCTGTGTCAATGTGAAGCAAATCTTCATCTGACGAGTCATCACTCTGTGAAAACAAGAAGGCAGCTCACAAAATGGAAACTTACTATGTTAGTTAACAAGAACACAAGAATTTCTGCAGCCTGCTGCTCTTCTAAAGACACAGGGCTAGCCATTGTAATTTGCTCTTGTTAACAACAAAATAAAAATAAAAATAAAAATCTGGTACACAATAAAAATCAGTCTTCTTCCAGCCTTTAGGCATAGTTGGTTTTCCTGTTCCCTTCCAACCCTAGGGAGCCAGCTTTGAGATCAGATTCTATGCATGGGATCACACCACTGTAACAGTGGTGTTTCCAGGTGCTGCGTTCCATTCCCAGCCACTGCTCCTGTTTTTGAGACCCATGCAGCAGTGAGTGTGTGGCTGTATCTGTCAGCCCAGACATCACGGCTTAGGTCTGTATCTTGCAAGATGCTTAGCTTGGCCAGTTCAGACACAGAGACAGACCCACTTCCACCATCCCTGCTACAAGAGAACAGGAAGATGGAACAAAGGAATGGGACAAATGAGTGAGTACCATCTGAGTACACTGAAGGAAGCTACCTGCAACTAATTGACTTTCTGGGGCTGATACCTTTATGCACTGTAGACTATAATAAAACAACTTTTTTTCTCCATTCCTGCCAGCTTTCAGGCCTCCAAAGTTCTAGCCATCGTTGCTTAGGCTGCCACTACTGCTTTCTTCAGGAACTAGTTTTGTTTCTTAAATTTCCATGCAATGAGATATCAGCATGTTTTGCCCTGCTCCCCCTGGATCACACTCCAGACTTCAGCTACAGGCTGAGGGAAGCAGATATGCACTTATTCTCGAACATCCCTGAGCCAAACCAGGATGTAGAAAACTGTTTAGCTCTTAGGGCTAAACATTTCAGTCACCTACAGTTCTGTGTCAACAAGCTGTTTTTCTTTCTATGATTGACTCAGGTATTACAATGTGGATTTATACCAACTGCAGTTAGACAAAACCTTTCAGCATGTCATTTAATTTCCAGCATTGAGCTACAATGCTAACGCAAATAAGAGCAAACTTATGCCTGTACTGTTAAGCTTCTTGATGCAAAGCTATCAACGGGCACATTGACACTGCCTCAAGTTAGGGACATGCTAAAATATCAGACTGAGCCTAGGGCATTCCAGATGTAAGCCCATAATAGACAGATGGAGACTCTGCTAAGTGATAGTAAATAAATCCTTTAATTGGTACATAATAGGACTTCTAGTAATGTGAAACACCAAATGACATGCCTTCCGTTCTATTAGCATTACTCTGAGTTTCATTGTCAAACATGAACATGGAAATCTTCAATGATCAGTGTTCAAAGAGCTTGGAAATGGGAGACACAGGTAAAAACACAGCCCAGGACAGACCCTTGTGCCCATCAGCAATGTAACATCAAGCCAGGCACAACATAAAGCTCCTTCTGACCCTTCCCACCCTTTCTTATGGCTTGCTTCTGTTCTTGTGATACCATTCAAGTGTCATGGTCCCTGCGAATGCTTCCCATCAGGCCTAATCACATACAAGCAGTTCAAGCCAAATTCTGATTAGTCCTTACAATGTCTGAATGCTATCTGTTCTGGCCCAGCTGAGGATGTGACAACCGAAAGCAGTCTTCACTACCATCATTTACAGTGCTGTTACCTCACCTGAGCAGAAAAAAGACACTATTATCTTGTGAACGAATGTCACTGATGATTACAGCAAGGCATATTGCATAGCTGCCATTAAGCACTGCCTAGCAGATCTGAGACAACTTTCCAATTTTGGATAAGCCCCCACATACTTTAAGAGATATATAATGGGTGTTCACTTGTGATAGGTACAATAATTACCATACCTTATATGACACCGACTCCACCTTTGGCTTCTTAACAGGAGTATGCTGCAGAGTGTCTTTTTTATCTGATAAAACTGAATAAAAAAGAGCAACAGTAAGTCATGGTCCTTTTCTCTTCTAAACAGTAGCACTCCTAAGCCTTTACTTTGAAAGCAATTCAAATAGGAGTTATGTTTGACTAACAGTTAAGATATAGATTTCTTTACTGTAAATCACACAACATAAAGACTAGTTTTGGACAGCCAACGCACAAGACTCTGCCACACAGACAAAAAAAAAATATTCTTAAAATATTCTTACAGGGCAGTTCTCTTTTTGTAGTGTTTTTCTTCCTTCTGATTGGAAATTCATCGATTTTTAGCTCACCATCATCTGACACATACTCATATTCATCTCGTACAGGTTTTGCTTTATCTTCTTTAAAATTCTGCAGTGACCCAAATACACTAGTATTCAGTTGGGTTTTGACTCCCTTAGAACTGAAAACATAAAAATAAAAATAAAAATAAAATAAATCAGTAACAATATACCGACTGGGAAACATTTTAATAGACAGAGGAAGACAATGAATACCTTTCCTCATACAGAAATCTCAGTCAATCTGAACACTTTCAGAGGTGCCAGAGCAATTTAAATCGTTTTACAAACATGTTGCTGTACCTACAATTTATATCCCTAAATACAATGCTGACCAGAGCAGCTTTCCTGGCTTGAAATAATCACTACAATACTAAGTTGTCTCAAAGTATAACACGATATACATAATGGACACACAGCATGGAATTTTGGCATGCAGTGTTCATTTAAAAGTGTTTTTTTGCCTTTTTTTATGTACCCTGAATAGGATCTGCAGAAAATCATTTAATACAACATAAATTTAAACTAGTAAGAACCTGAAGTGCCAAAAAACAAGACATAGCACAAATACTGAAGGCAGTAGTCTCGAGCAAAATCCCAGCCTCAAAGGTAGATCTTTGCTGTTATGGACAACCAAGAAGGATTCAAGGTAAAATCAAGTTCTATAGTAAAAAACTTTCTGAATAAGTGTATTTTCTACATTGACCATAAATTCAGATTTTCACCTTCTTGTATAAAAATAAATAAATAATCACTAGACTTTAATTTTCTAATTAATGAATATTCTAATATTTTTACTTACCCAAGCAACTTCTTATTAGAGAAAGAGAATGTAAATTTGTTGTCCTTATTTCCTGATAAAGGCGTCTTTTCTGATTTGTGTTCCTCTTCCATTTTTAATAGTGAATCAGGTTTACTGTTCTGAAATGCAAAAAGATCCCCCAAAAAAACAAACAAACAAAAATAAAATCAGTTATATGAGTTGCTAATATTTCCTAGGTAATGTTAGAGAATCCATTGACCTGTACATAGAATAAATATGCCCTGCAAATGAGGTAAGTAATAGAGAATTATAGTCTTCCTTAGACTAGATGGGTTCTAGTTCAGGGACTTGTCCCTGCTCAAGAACTTCAGCACCAGTTTAAGAAGTGCCCACCACAAATATGCCTGATGTTACATTTAAGTATAGCTCTCTTAAATTGGTACAGACTGAGATAAAATATTGAACACTGTTCTTCATCATCATGCTTGTGCAGCTAAGGACAGAATCTAGCACAGTGCCTGTAACATGACCACATTTTATTCCCAGGCTCCACTTGCTTCTTTCACACCTTCAGAAGAGCTTGAATTATGAATTTAATAACAAAGCCATTCATTCTTCAATTATATTTTAAGCATAGCCCTAATACTTTCCTAAGCTGTACTGGCTGCGTAATTAACTGGTATATATTGAACTGAACACACCAACTGTGACTGTTTTTAAACACAAAATTTAGAACTCAGATGTCTCTGTTAAAAGGTCAGGATTCTTAGTAGCTTTCTGCACATGGAAAGACACATGCTTCTGTTTCAAGGAATTTTTTTTGTACCTTTGTCATTAGAAGTTCGCAAAGTAAGCAAAATTCAGACAGCTATTTTTATGAGAATGCCTATGTCACCCTGTTTTAAACGGTACCTGGAAAAAAATTAGTTTATTCTATGGATGAATTTTTCTCACCCTACATTAGCTCTCTTGGGAGGCAAGGTTTTAGTTTATGGGGCGTGATTCAGATTTCATTAACAATATTTTTATGCCATCAGGAGTTATTGATCTGGAACTACTCCAGACTTAAAGTACTGTAACTAGGTTAGAGTAAGAACCACAAAAGTGATCAGCACTGAAAAATCTATTAGAAGTGTTCCCACCAGCTTCATCAAGGATAAGAATGAATAATTCAGCACATGCTTTTGAAAAACAGCCATACACCTCCTTTATTTGTGCTTACTTTGTTGGTTTTGGTTCAAATATTTTTCATTGGGAACTGAAAATTGGTGACTCGCACTCTCTGCTTAGGTAGGCCTGTAAACATTTCTCCACCACTGACTTATCTCTATGTGGCAGAACCAGCAACAAAACTTAACAGGAGACCTTACCTTATATTTCCATTTGGCTTCTGTTTTGCTTTTATTTTGCTCTCGAGCTTCAAACTTTTCCACCTCATTTTGCTTATTAGCTGTTTCTTTATTGGGAACACTTAAAACATTCTTTGCAGCCTGGGGAAGAAAATCAACTTGCACTCTTAATGAGGATGGTAGCACTGGCATGTTACACAAATACGTTTTTATCTAGAATATAAGATGGCATATTTTTGAGAACTCCTTTTCTGATTTATTCCTTTTTGAATTCAAATGTGAGATTCAATCAAATATTGCTGTTCCAGAGACTGCAGAAGATTAGCTGCATTTCTCCTTCATATAGTAACACACAAACTACTAGGAAATTCAGAAGCATTTCAGAAAAGTTTTATGGAATCTTCTTAAGACAAAATAAATAAAGTGTACAATGCATTATTCTGTCAGCACTTCAAAGAAATCTTGGCCTCTGCTGAGGTCAACAGCAAAATTTACATTAACAGACATCAAAATGAAACTTGTCCTACATGGACAAAACCAGAAGAAAACTACTGCTTTATCTTCGTTCACTCATTCTTGAGCAAAATCTCACGCAAGCAAGATGCCCCAGAAATAAGTCCATCTTGTCTGTGGACTGATCATGGAAACGAACACAAAAGTGATAGTATAGTAACACTTGAAATATTAACGTAATAGTATAGGGGCCAAAAAAAAAAAAAAGTCTTTTAATTTTCATCTCACCTTAGTTTGGAGGGGGACCTGGCAGTAGTTTGCCAGACTCAGCTTGAATCAGTAGGTTTCTTTCTTCATATCAAATGAGTTACCAAACAAACAGTCAAATCAAACTGAGCAGCCAGGTTAAAAAAAAATAAAAAAAAAAAAAAAGGCAAACGCAAAACTCTCATTTACTTCAGTAAAGACAGGGTTTCACACTGTGTTGCTTAATTTTGTTTTCCATGAGACGTAAGGAGAGCTTTTATCCCCACTATGACAAGAATGGGGGGAGGTTAAAATATGACCCACCTTTCCCTTCTTTGGCGTCTCAATCTTTGTCAGAGCCTCCTTTGTGTGTGCCTCCAGCAAGTCAAGATTCGGGATGGCTGGCGGTGGACTCTCTTTTGCCTTCTTTCCTTTCTTTTTTCCTTCTCCCTTGACTTTTGGTGTTTTGGGAGGTTTGGGGGGTTTGGGAGGCTTGGGGGGCTTAGGAGGCTTGGATGGCTTGAGTTGTTTGGGGGTTTTCACAGTTTTTGGGGTCTTTTTTTTAGGGAGCTTTTCTACAGGTGGGGGTGGAGGTGTCACTTGGACGGGTGAAGGTGCATCCTCCTTCTCCACAGGACAGGTCTCCTCAGCATTTGTGTTGGCACTCGTGTCTGCTTTGCTGGCTTTCGAAGCATTCTGTAGTTTGGCACAAAGCAGTAAGGCATTCAGATCCACCTGTATCATGTTAGATATTCCCCTGCACCCTCCCATCCACAGGGAAACAAACACCAGAGAAACCTCCGTCAATACAGGAGTAACAGCATCCACATCTCAGGGAATGGACACCACACCACGTGTCACAGGAGCGTTCTGCCCACTGCTAATTTCCCTTCAGCTGCTGCTCAAGCACAAGGTCGGCCTGGAGAAACTCCAGTGGTGAGGAAGTTAACTCTCACCAGGTTATATCAGGTAGGACTCTTAAATGGACTGCCCACACAAAAAAACATATAACATGAATGGTCTTTTGTTTAAAATGCTAATCAGTTTGAGTACAACCACTTCAATTTAATTCAGATGTGACAATGTAGTAGAATCATGTTTCATGCCCTCAGGTAAAATAAGCAGTGAAATAGCTGCCCAATTAAAATTGACAATGCCTAACTAATTATAAAGAAGTTATTTTCTGCTTAACTTGCCATTCCGACAATCAAAAAAAGGTACATGCTGCGTCAAAGAGGGTAAGATAGATTTCAATTTTGAGGTCTTTGGATATAGTTAGAATGCAACACTTCCTTCTCAAAGCACAAATGAACTAGCTGCTATCACCTTGCACTGTCACACATCTCCACTGTGTGGAACATCATACCAGACTTATTGGACAACAGATCAATACAACCTCTGTGGGTTGTTGGTTTTCTTTGTTTGTGTGTTTGTTTCTGTTTCTTTTTGTGTTTTTTTTTTTTGTTGTTGTTGTTGTTGTTTTGTTTTTGTTTTGTTTGTTTGTTTGTTTTTAATATAATGATTATGTTTAATATAATAACTCTGCTTAGAAACCAGCCAAGAGCAAGGCCTCCTACTAGGCCAATGTCCAGAAGGATAGATAGCTCCTAGCTCAGACATCACAGGTAAGACCAGTGAACATATTGAGCATGATTAGGAGATGGCAACAACATTTTCTGAGCTCTACTGTATTTGTGGGTAGGAAGCAGCTAATGTGAAAGGAAAAATAAGGATGGAGATGGGAGTGTGGCCAGTCCTGCTAGCATAACGTGGAGGAGGAAGGACGTAGGGCAGGCAGGGAGAGCATGAAGTCAAGGAGACAGCAAACAGGAGCCCAAAACATGCGGCCAGTCAGCCACAGACAAGAGTCCTGAAAACCCTACTGCTTAAACCTTCAAATTATTTTAACAAACAAGATAGGGATAAAAAGATTCATTTATTTCAAGTCCTCTGTTTTAGAGTCTAGGTTATTAAAAAATGAACAGTGTAGTTAACATGATGAAAAGAGTACAAACCTCACTTAATCGTATTTCTTTGGCAAGGTCCTTGATAAGCTGTGCTGGTTTGAAGTTTTCTGGTAGTTCATCTTCATGCTCTGCTAAAGCCTAAACCAGAACAAAGCCAGACTGCTGTTTCTGTACATTTTTGTGTTTGTCTTTTTTTTTTTTTTTTTTGCAAAAATTAAAACTCTTTAAGTGACACATTAATGTTTTTTCCAAACTAGTCAAATCACTACTGACTACGTCAGTAATACGGAAAAAAAATACATTTTATTTCCCCTTCTAGGTGTTATTGCTGTTCCTTCAGGACAACTACTTACAAAGTCAGCACCTTTTTTAGATATTATTGCATGTTCACAACTGTAACATTAGTTTGCTTACCCCCTTACATGACATTCTATAAGAAACTCCTTTTCTACATCTACACGGAAAGGTTGTCTCAGGATGCTGTCTTCTAGTGGGCCCAATAGGCACATACCTTGTCAGCAGAGTGGTTTGGGAGCTCCCTGTCAGGACTGAGGTTTTCATTCACATGCCACGTTCCAATATTCAAAGTTCAAATTTACCTAACTGCCAACACAGTCTGACTTCCTTTCACTACTTGACATTTGCATGGCAAGTGGGAGAATAAAGAGGGAGGGTGACATGAAGAACAGGTCTTCTACATCAGACAGTCCTACTACAGGCAGTCAAGAACAATTCTGAATTCAGACTGTCTTTTTGCAGTAGGAAGCAGCCAAGACTCTGACTACATTTAAATCTGAGACAGCCACCTAAGTGATCTAAACTGTGTATGCAACACTGTTTACTCAGCTGCTCACCCCTTCTCCAATTGTTCCCATTTTCTGATTGAATGGCCTGCCTCTTGCAGCTAATTCCCCCAAATTTTTGGAGCAATGCATACAAGAATAACGTGGCTGAAATGACTGCAGTGGTAAATTCAGGCTGCAAATATCTTTAAGCCATCTCTCTGGGCATATATGTATTTCCTAGTTTAACTGATGTGTTGATTTCCAGGAACTGAGCACTTTGTGCACACAAAAATGAAGGTGGTGTTCCAGGCCTCACTCACATACACAGCCTCTACTTAATTGCTTTGGCACATGAAAATGCTCAGGGCCATGGAAAACATTTATTCAGTATCCTGTTGACCATAAGCAGAACTGATATTTATAAAACTCTGATGGTACCTTTCTTATTCTCTGCTTACTCCTCACGTAACATTATAAAATCCCAATTGTCACCCTCCTTCCCTGCTCTCCTGGTCCCTTCTCTTTGGGATTCTAGAGTTAGGTGTTTTGCTACGATGATACTGTCTGTTCCAGCATTTGTTCTTTGTTCCCATGACTGACAAACCTGAGGAACACAATATTAAAATAGGGTCTTCTCCTACCTGTTTCTTAGTCCATGACCTGAAAGCACCATTGAGAATTTTTGCTCCTTGGAGTAAATGAGCAGGTGGTTGTTGCCCAGCTTTGTGCAAACCTAAGCAGAGAAAAAGCAGTGCCATTCAAATGCTGAGAGCTGAAGTGGTTCTACATGAATTCTCTAATCTGAAAAAGTTTAAACTGTGAAAGTTAACTTAAAAGTTGGTCACCGCCAACAAATCCCTATTATTACTTGATGGTAATAAGGAGTATATTTACTGTGTCATAAATCCAACTCTGCCTTTCTATACTGTGGTTCCTGTAAATTATGTTTACACTGGCAGTCATCTTGGCTCTTTTCTTGGTCACATATTCAAGCTAGCTTCCATGTTCATACATCCTAGGCCATGGGCTTACAAAGCTGACATGAAAGGTTGTTTCATTCTGTCTGAAAAAGCAAGCATCAGTATGTGGAACCAAAGCTATACTGGGCAGAGCATTTCACTTCTCCTCTATGAGTACAAGCTTGGCTAAACTTTTCTGCTGGTTACAATTTTTATTAGTGTCTGTCACAAGGGGGCCCCCTTCCAAGCAACCCCACACATCACTTACTAGTTAGATAAAGTGGTGTAGATGTATCTGGTGGGTGTCTCTAGACATGTTCCATAATAAGAAACAGAGGCAAGGAGAAAAGTGAGCCCAAGTTTGTAGAGAACATAACATGCATGGACATTTGGATAAACTCTGAAGGAATATGATTTAGAAGATTTTGAATGTCACAGAAAACTGTGCTTAAATTCGGAGCGGTCCTGCTTCCCTGCTGACCCCATCACTGATGTTCCTGTGAACCCATGTATACATATGACCTGCCAATGTACTTCCACCAGAACCATAAGAATTATGAGAAAAGGCGGCACTATTCCATCTGCCTTGGGCTGACAAAGCAAGCAGCTCATTACGTTAAGACAGGGAATGAATCCGTAACTTACACTACCCAGCCTAGGTAGTTGGTTACAACATTATTTGCCTCTGAAGCAACTTAAATATTTTTTACAAAGATGAAACCTTTACTTGAGTATAGGTAAGAGGGATGGCTAAGGTCCTTCCTAGAGCAAGGTGGCAGGCTGATTAAGGTGACAGCTGGACCAGATCTGCACATTCAGCTGACATGTTAGAACTAGTTTTTAAATACTAGCAAGACTGATTTTGGCAACCTGTGGCTCATCAGCAGAAAATAAGAGTAAGTATTTTCAGGCCCCCAAATCTAAGCAATTAAGGCAGGAAAAGAAAAGCAGTTTTACCTTTGAATGTCTCTAATAGATGCTTTCCCATATACCAACATGCAGTTTCGAAGTTTGGAAACTGTGTTAGACTGACAATTTTCAATCGTCTTTCTACTTCATATGCCCTGCAATACAAAGAAAACTGAACTTAAAAGCATAGCAGGTCACAAGTATGTTGCACAGTGTCAAGCACTGCTCATAAATGCCTGAGGTTCACTTTGCAGTACACATGGAAGGGTATTTCTTTGTGCTGCTACCAAGTACTCTGGCATCAGACCAAAAGCAAAACATAAAAATAACACTAGTAAGAAACTGTGATATAGATGTAAGATATTTTTATTACATTATTTGTCCAACATCAGTAAAGACTACTTCTACTGTTTTTCACTGGGCAAAGAGCCCATCTGAGTAGGTGAATATGTATCCAGAAGGTAAATAGCATGTTCTAAGGCAAAAATCCTGACAGTTTTTAACAATTCTTCCTTCAGAATCTGGCCACTTCTGTCCAAACAGCTCACATAAACTTCCAAGCACTATGTAACAGGTGTAAAGAAGGCTTGGAATAACCCAGCAAAGGAGAAACTGGTCAAGGGGCAAATATGTGCATGCTTTCCAAAATTCTCCCAAAGAAGCTACATCAATAACATCACTGCAAACGCAGGATAATTATTATGAGAGAGGATGACCAATTTATTAAAACTTGACCCTCTACCTAAATAAAGATTTTAAAAAACAGATTACCTCATCTGCATTTCAACACTTAGACTATGTAGAAAATGTCCTGCAAAGGCCAGGCAGTCTACAGGTGTTAGAGTTGCATAAATCCAACCTAGAAGAGAAAGAAAAGATCCTTGAGAATAAATACTGGGTCCATAGTAACAATGTGTTACAGAATCACAGAATCACAGAATTTCTAGGTTGGAAGAGACCTCAAGATCATCGAGTCCAACCTCTGACCTAACGCTAACAGTCCCCACTAAACCATATCCCGAAGCTCTACATCTAAACGTCTTTTAAAGACTTCCAGGGATGGTGACTCCACCACCTCCCTGGGCAGCCTGTTCCAGTGCCTAACAACCCTTTCAGTAAAGAAGTTCTTCCTAACATCTAACCTAAAACTCCCCTGGCGCAACTTTAGCCCGTTCCCCCTTGTCCTGTCACCAGGCACGTGGGAGAACAGGCCAACCCCCACCTCCCTACAGCCTCCTTTAAGGTATCTGTAGAGAGCAATAAGGTCGCCCCTGAGCCTCCTCTTCTCCAGGCTGAACAAGCCCATCTCCTTCAGCCGCTCCTCGTTCACTACATGAACTTCATACTTCACTGTACAACTTACTTCCTATATACCAACACTGCTCCTCAGTCCAAGTCAGCACTAGAACCACCTATGCTTTGAACAAAGTTGCATTTGGGCCCTTGTTCAATTTGCACTAGTAAGGCCCAGTACAGGGACTTGCTAAGCACCTTTCACTCACAGTCCCAGGATTACCTTCGACTGTGGCTATTTCAAATAGACAGACAGTGAAGGGAATATATTGCCACAAGTGCCCTTACTTTTTTATTGCTGTTAAAAGCAGCAGCAGTTACATAATAGTAGCTGTTTTCACATCACTGACAATTCCTGACACTGATTTTATTGCAGTGTCAGAAACAGGTGTTTTCCAAACACTTATTTTCACACAAAAATCTACTTAATTTAGTCAATCTCCATACATTGTTCAATGTTTATTCCACCATCTGCTTCACACATGGTCATGAGAGAAATGAATATTCTTTATGAGTATCATCCTAGGAACTGAGAAAAACAAAATTCACCACAACCTACAATGAAAGCCTGAGTCTATGAAGTAGCCTATAAAAATCTGCGACACCCTTGTCCTTCAGCGTCTCGTGAAACCATAAACACACATTCACACCATGCAGGCACCTTGGTGTCAAAGGGAATCAACAACCAAGAAGTGAAGCAAGCAATGCAACATGAGCTCTCCATTAGATATTGTGGCACAAAACATCAATGTCATGCTTGGGCATACAGAGAGGACTTGGGAGTTACTTCAACCCAGGTAGACCAAAAGTGGAACACTGTATGTACTAGTTGCATTTTTAAAAGGCTGTTAAAATATTGAGAGAAAACAGTAAACGTTTAGGGATTGTTGTTGTTTTGTAAGAACATAAAATTGGACTTCTACCAAGAGTTAGACTTCATACGTTGTCAGAGAAAGGTGGTCAAATCACATTCCTCTAGCACTTTGGACATGCTGTTTCGGCAGCTGTAAAACAAACAGTAAACCTCACCTGTAATCGCCTGCTCACCTGAAGGAATGAAGAGTGTCTGTCCTTGTTTAACTGTGCATTTGTAACATTTATCTACCTGGTCTGCAAAAAACATTTCACTGTGGTTTGCTGCTGATTGCCAGCGTTCATAGAGAGAAATATTTGCAGAGGCTGGTTTGATGAGATAAAATATTTTTTCTCCCTGAATTAGAAAACACAATTAGCAACAAGCAGCCAAATCAATCAAAGTTTCACTGACATGGATACAAGCACACACAAATATTTATTTAAATAAATATATAGCATTACATATTTTAACACTATTTAAGTAAAAACTACTAGTCAGCTTTGTAAAGAAGGGCTGAAATAATTAAATCACTAGCTGACTACATTTGCTCAGATTAGTGGGGCAGATGGCACAAAAAGTTTACATTGTCAGGTTCCATTACCCTGCAAAAGTAGGATGTAATATCTTCCAGGTCTTAGGAGATGTACTTGCAGAAGGCACTAAACAAATATTCACATCCTAATAGAGTGAGAATACACCAACAACTTCCACATGACAAGTAAACACTACTGAGAGTGTACCCACTGACGGCAGTTAAGGCTTTGCATATTTCTTATGTAAGTGGACCATTGGGGAAAAAAATGAGATCAAGAGAATTTTAGGATGGTCTTCACATATAAAATGTAGTTCGTTACTAAATACATTGCAAAAAAGATGAACCCTCACCTTCAGCACATGGTACCATGCAGAAGCTCCTCCTGAATCTATGTGGAAATCTGTGTAGCTGTCCTTCACACAGATCAGGCAGTACTTGGTCACTTTTGGTTTAGCCAGAAGAGCATCATCAGGCCAATAGTTTTCCACCCAGGACAACTTCTTAACTATATCTGGAGGTTCGACAAAACTGGACATCCTGTATAGAGAGAATTAAAAGAAAGCATGCATCTTTTAAGAAAAAAAAAATAATAATAATAATGCAAGAATCTCAATACAACCAAAAGTGGTCTCTGACTCTATTACTTCAATGGCAATATGAAGCAACAGCTTACATATCAGTGGAACTGGTTTTTATTCAGAAACTTCGTGAAAACTGTTTTCAGATATAAATTTAAGGCTTTTTTCAGTATGATGATGCAGCAATGACCCTTTGAATTCTTTCAGTAGCAATATTTATGATGAACTGTTTATATTTTCCAGTTTTTGCCTCTTGCTATGTAGGCTCAGTTACCAATTGTGCTGTATCCCAGCCACTTTTCCAGCCCCCTTCAGAGAAGTTAAAGGTGTGCACTCTTACATAAGTGGTCTAGTAAATCTTAACAACTTTCAGGTTAAACTGAATAGTAATAAAATTTACAGTATTGATACTTCAGACATGTGAACTAAATAAGTCTTGATCTGCTGCTGAAAATCAGTTATCTTTTTATTTAGATTGATTAAATTACATGAAAAACTCTGAAGAAGAAAAGATATAATTTGGTTGATAATGTTAATATATTTAAAGTATGATATATAATTAATTTATATATTGTCTTATTTACAGTAAGCATACCATTTAAATACATTATATAAATTATATAAGCATACTGTATATTATTAATCACAGCCAAAATGACGTGGTGGCGTAAGAAGAAAGTATTCTAAGTCTTTCACCCCCAAACGTGTTAGATTTTATATTTAAATAGTGAAAATTTGGCCTACTATTTGCAAGAGGTTGAAGTTCACTGTTGGACACCCTAAAATATCACTTCCATAAGAGTATCTGCACTTCAAACTAAAATTAAAAGCTCTCGTGTCATTTATGCTCACTGTCAAATACTGATAACAATAGCCCCATTTAAAATGGCAGGGAAAGACAGAGCAGTGCATTCAATTAAAATGTCACTGTCTATGCTAAGAGATAAAATATTTGCTAGTTAATGTCTAAATTAGCAGCATATGAGTGACAGCCCCAATAGTCCTTCAGAATAAAAGATCTCCCGTTATTCTCTGATAATGGCAGAAAGCTAAAAAATTCGTACTGGAAATACTGGTAATCTTAGAAGCCTGTAATTACTACAGAAGCTTTCTGCAGGAATGGGTGTGCACTACTAAAACACTAACTACAGGGCTTGAGGTTAAAATGGCTTAAAAATAAATAAATAAACTCGTAATTATTCATCAGCTTACTTTTTAAAGGCTATATTAAGTCTACTGTCCTCAGCTAAAATGGAATGGTCCCCAAAACCACCGTTCTTTGTTGTTGTTGTTGACACTCATCATTTTCTGTGTTGCGTTTATACAAAAAGGAATCTCTTCCTCCATTAACACTTCCCATTAGAGCATTAGATACCCAGAAGGACTACAAGAACTGTAAAAATGATTTACACATGTTGCATAAACTTCAATATATTATAGATGCATCTACCTATTTATAGAATAAAATCACAACTATATAAAGCATAAAGTAATAACTTGAACTCTTAGGCATTTACATCAACTAATTATCCTATGTGTAAAGCATATAATTTAAAGCATGAGAAGAATAGCAGTTTTTCTGTCATCGAGGATTGATGATATTCACATAGCCAGTATCATGACATATGTCTCACTGAAACACTAAAGCACCTCAGCCTCAAATGCAGAGCTCATCTGGTACTGTTACACATGCATACACACACCCCAACTTTCTGTTGAGATATCAGCATCACTCTAGTTCTTCACTGCTGTCATCCAGATTATAGGTTAACTTGCAAAAGCACCAAGACTGAAACTTGAACACATAATATAGGACTACAAAATCATAATCATTTCAAACTTACTCTCATTCAAGGACATCCAGTGACATGTTATTCCATACCCAGAGCCACATCTCATTTATTTACTTTAAACAAAAGATTTCAGTATGTAATATACAATGCACTTGTGCCAGTGCTATATGAATAGGGTGCTTGCTATGTCACAACACATTTTAAAAAAGAATGCTTCAAGGAGAACACATTAAAAGATTGCCTTAATCTGGAAGAAGAGCTGTCACTGATTTACATACATCATGAGTCTCATCTCTCACAATATAACAGTTTATATTATATATGCATATATATGACTCCTTTTGTCCATGTTCTCCCACAAGTCTATGCTGTCCTTCTTTCTTTGGGTCTTACCAGTATGTGTCAAGCCCCACCTAAGATCATAATAGGAACATACAACATTATCACTCACCACCAGGACAAGGCAGAGAATTCTCTCCTGGAACAACTAGTTATGTCCTAGTTATAAGTCTCTAGTATACAGTTGAACTGAATTAACTATACCTGTACTACTGGAGTTAAAATAAAAATGAAAAGACGTAAAATCGTTCCATTCTGATATGTGAATGTTGATGGCACATGAATGGTGATGATATGCACATCTGAATTCCCATGAAAAATTCTGGCCCAACTAATCCACACCATACTCTTCATACAGCTACAGCACTTTCATTTCCGTGCTTTCCCTAAAATGGCTACATATGGATAAAGCCATACTTGTCAGCATCACAAGAAGCCAGGATCCCAAGGCTAGAGCAGTACTTCCTAAGAAGGGAACCACTAGAGAAGGTGGAGGCTGCTCAGAACGCAGCAGTTGGACCCCAGAGCACTGCGTAGTGCCGCAGGATGGACCAGCTCACCTCGTGTCCGAGAACTCCAGGTTAGTCACATTGAGGACCCTTTTCCTGTTTGTACTGTAGTAGTAATCCACAAATTCCTTCAGCTTCATCTTGCAGTCTTTCTGTTTGGTGACATCAGTGACATCAACACTTCTCTCTGGTCCTAAAAATTAATTCAATAAAAAAGGGAGATTGATTGGTGGCCTGACTTGTCCCATTTTGTATGCTTGGGTGTGAGTTAACATTTCCAGAAACATCTTGGGCATTTTATTTGTTGATTTTCTTAGCTTTTGTAATTTATTTGGCTTACATACAAAAACTGCATATGTATAAAATGGTACTTTTTTATTCATGCCCCATGATAAAATTATTTCCATGGTTTTTATTTTTAAAGGATTAATATTATTTTTCATTACAGACATTATTTGCTTGGTGAAAATTATATGCAAATACCTGAATATCTATGGAGTAAGCCCTACCCACCACACCATAAATTTCTTGTGATTGAGTGTAATACTGTACAGGGTATCTTGTCAAGCAGATTTTTCAGGACAGTTTTCCTCATGCTCTATTAAAAAATTTATTTACAATTTTTTTTAAGAAATATTTCAGGTGTACCATGAAATTTTTGACTTCTTTTATCACATTAGGAGAGCAAGAAAATATTTTTCCCCCTACAAAATGCCAACACAGTAATGACATATTTGGCAATCTCATTTGTGGTGTTCCATCCTCTACTGCTTGCTTTAGATTGTTGCTAGAAGACATTCTAGGTACAATGTAATAAACTAAAAAACAGTGAAATAAATTCCTGCTTGTGAAATCTCACTGAAGCCAACCAATGCCATGGAGGTTACACCAGCATTTTATTTGTTCTGTTCACCTTAAAAATCTGGTGCCAGCTTTGGATTAAATAGCCTGTGCTCTTCCTGTTCTTCCCTTCAGCTTTTCACTAACAGGTTTTTTTCGTTTTGTTTTTGTTTTGTTTTGTTTTGAGGAGGGGGGGAGGAGGAGGACGAGGAGGTGGATTATTTCAGCTAGAGGCTGAGAGAAAGCCAGCAGATGCATGAGGAGCACCTAGGTCAAACAAGAAAATCTGCTAAGTGTAGCAGATGGGCAAGGAAAATATGTTTCCTGTAGAAGCAATGGGATAGAAATGACAATAAAATCAGAGGTCTTGAATTCTGCTTTATTCATAGTTACCTCACTGCACACAGTCACTGCAAGAGGAACAAAGGCAGTCAAGAACAACAGTGGCTGTTGACAGCATCCACCAGTTTGGGGAATAGGTCAATGGCCTGGTAAGTAGCACACAGAAGGAGGAGTGGTTAGCAGGTTATAAAAGGAGATAAAGGGAGCCCTGAAACACAGACATACATTAGAGCTGGAGTCATGGCTCCAAGAGGACGGCAGTTTACCAGAACACTGGAAGGAACAAGAATCTCATTGGAACTGACACAGAAGAGAGACAGAGTGAGAGCGAAGAAGAGACAAGATCACACATGCTAAAGGAAGAAGGATGTGGAGATGAGACAAGTGACTTCAGAGCAGTTCCATGGCTCCTGGCCAAGGTATGTTTTCCAAGGGTGGATGACGTGATGACTTGCAAGATGCAGTACAACACCCTGCCCAGGTTAGAGTCTGGAGGATGCCAGCAGAAATCCAAATGACCGGCAGCAATGACAAAAGCTCTGTGAACTGACACCAGTGTAGAAATAGACTGCCTCTGCAGAGTGGGAGTCACAGTCTGGTATTTCCTTCAATAAAAGTGAGATGGCAGCAATCAATTAAGACTTGGCCCAAAGGAACAATTTATTGATACTACAATGACTATTTTAATGCAGTGCTATGGAGTACAATGTGGTCTGGCTCAGGTTCACAGTAAGATACACAAGTTGGTACAAGAAACAAGTGTGGATTAATTGCTAATTACAGGCTACCACTACATAATAAATCTTAAAGTTTGCATAGCTCAAGGTCTGATGTCAGTATTTTACAATAACATAACCTCCTTCCTCCTTTGGCCATAAAACACACATATACGCCTCCTATCCCCAAAACCTAGTTTTCATTGCTGTCTGTAAAATCACAAGAGAAAATACTAGTGATTCTGAGCTAGCAGGTAGCAAGCAATGCCAGTGCATGCTGCCTTTCAGTCCCTCACCTCTCACAGTACAGCCCACTAGGACCATGCTGACTCCTGGAGAAAAAATTACCCTGGGATTATTTTGACTCACACCAAAAGCCAAACTTCTTCTCTGCCATACCTGGGGGATGGAGGAGTATGTGCAGGGTGTGCAACACCCTCTTTCTGCTTCTTCCAGGTTTCCTCTATAGTGTATGTTGATTGGCCTACATACGGGTTATACGGCTCTGAAGTTTTGAGCTGCCTCCATAGATTCTTGTTAGAGACAAGACTCTGCAAAGACTCTTGTTATTTAACCTGCAGTTGACTGCCACCTTTCCCTACTGCTGTTCTGCACTGAAAGGCAGACCAGGAATATTCCAGGCAAGGGAGCCTTTTTCACAGCCCTGGGACCATTTTTAAAGAAGTAAATGAGCTCTAGCAAGTAAAGCGTTACTGCTGCCCCATACGCACCAACGTAGTTTTCAACATCGCTGACGTAGAACGTGGGTGCTGGTACAGACAATCCCAGTCCATCCTTCTTTGGAACCAGGATGGGCTCTGTGAAACCATTTTCTTCCAAATACTCTGTTGTTAGTTGGCTGCCTGGCACTTTCACTACTATATCTTCAGCACTAGAAAAGTAAACACAGGTAAGGTTCAATGGTAAGGTGCTTCTAGGCGGAGCTTGGCATCTTCTGCATTTCACTACTGAAAGGAAAAAGTTATAAGCAAACAAGAATAAACTGACACCATCAGATAACAGTCACTTCTCCCCAATGCCTATGTGGCATTTTTTGTTCAGTTGGGTGTCTCAGCTCTTTTTGAGACCTAGAGACCTAGAATGACCTAGAATAGACCTAAAATAACTCAATTCTCTTATTTGAAAAAAAATGCTTGTCTTTTTTTTTTTTTAAAAAAAAAAGGAAAGAAAAAAGAAAACCCAGACTTCCTGAAGCAGTGGATTCTAGGCACCCAATTCTTAGCTTGTTTACAAATGCCAGCTATGCTATGATTTTTCTATACTGCTGTGGGTAGCTCTACCGAAGTAAGCAGTATATGAATGTGAACTCTAGTATGACTTGTACGCCTTGTTTGTTTAACATCCAATTTCCCACATAAATAAGTGGTATATTTGTTGAAAGCCAACCAAAAGTATTCTCTAAATAGCAATTTGCAGATAGGCAAGAATGCACAATGCCAACAACTATAGACAAAAAAAAACTATCGGTCATGAAATGTACCAGTTCATATTTGAGTTCTGATTTTATTTTTTAAAGAAAACATTTATTTTGAGAACCCTCAAACAAACAAATTCCTATTACCTGGAATAAGCACTCTATATGCAAAGCACCTCTGAGAACCAGGCAAAGCCCTGTCTTCAGAAGAGACTACACTAGATACAATAAACCCCAAGGTCTTGGGAAATTCACTCAACAAAGCTAAAAATCAATAGTCTTTCAGATGGCATTAGGCTACATGGTGTTTTAGGCTGTCACTGAGACTTGCCCCGTCTAAACAATGTTTTAGCAGCATCCTGTACTCATCTAGAGTACGTTGAAGTGACTACACATGATAGAAAGCCATGGAATCAGAGGTTCAGATCTCTTTGTGCCTAGAGAGCTAATTTCATTCCTATGAACCATGCTGACCATCACACCTAACTGAAAAACCCCAGTTATATGCAAAGGAGGTGCATAAGACAAAAGCCATAACGCAGCATATTGCAAAGCATGTAAGGCATACTAAAACCATCTGCAACCAACACACTCGACTCTAATACACCAACTACTGGAAACTTCTGAAATAACAGCTTACAATGAGAGACTATTTTCTGAACTACAGGAATCTGTCAAGTTACCAGTGATTAATGTCAAAGAAATTAGTGTTAAATATTTAAATTTAAAGAAGGTAAAGTTTAAAATGCTACATAATCTCAAATAAATTGTCCAGGAAATACTTTGCAAATCATTCTTAAGTAGTCAAATAAATTGTTCAGGAAATACTCTGCAAATTGTTTTCAAGTAGCTGAGAGGGCTTCAAAGTGACTAATAAAAGGGCAGGTTTATCAAATGATCAGTTATTTAAACCGACAACTGTAAAAAGAATTTCAAGGCCAATTTCTAGATCTTTTCTAGAGCAAAATGTTTTGAATTCAAAGTGAAAACTGAGTGTACTCTAACCGATCATCAGGCCTAAAAGCGCTCCAGCAGCTGTTGCTTGCTGTTTGCCTCTCTTTGAGCCAACCTGAGTAACCCAAGCAACTCTTTGGTCTTTCTGAAGATATTTCAGGCCTTTCCTGCAGCGTGGGGACAGCCAGCTCCGCCATGGGCACGCTGGGGACAGTGGAAATAATAAAACTTTGCATGTTTACGCCCAAAAGCATTACTTCCCAGAACCTTGAAGGCCAATACGTGACTGCCCTCTTCTGCATCAGTTCTGAATTACAGCTCACGTTTTCAGAGTTACCAAAAACGGGCGGAAAAACGGGCGGGATGGGCGATGGCACTGAAGGGCACGGCCAGGCGGTACCTGTGCTCCGTCCCTGCAGGCACGAAGCGAGCCAGGCCCCAGTCGCAGCCCTGCCCAGACCGCCATGCGATCAGCCGGGCCTGCAAGACACCAGGCACATGCTATAGGCCTTGGATGCCACCATCACAGTGTCTGGCAGCTGGCATGGACACAGCCCCAGTATACATGGCTCCACAGGGACGGCCCAGGCCAAGTACCGAACACCAGATGCCCTGCTGATGCCCAGTGTTGGGCGCATAAGTGCTTGAGCAGGGGTCTGTAATTACCAGGCTTCGTGAAGCACATCGGGCATGTGGGAGGCAAGGCAGGGGAAGTGAGAAGTGTATTAAATGCATTCCTTTGCAGGCACTCATTTGGCAGGGCTTCCCAGGGAGAATAAGAATGCAAACTTGCCAGATGCAAGCAGGGGTAAGATGTAGAAAACAGCTCACTTCTGGATCATCCCAGCCACAGTGGGCTATCAGGAGACAAGGTTAGTCACTGGGTCTGGGAGAGCCCGGCTCACACCGCAAGCAACATGCGGCCCCAGCAGTGCCACAAGGACAGCGGTGGCATGGTGGGGACCCACACAGCCTGCCCATGCCAGCACTTAGCACCATGCTCCTGCTGCCATGCCACAGCGTGGGCACCCAGAAGCAGCATGGCCTAAGGCAAACAAGGAATTATCCATGCACACTGCTGGCAAAGCAGAGTGAAGACCGCCAGAGAGGCAGCCAGGTGGGCAGCAGCGTGAAACACTGAGCATTAGGGAATATACCACTGATCCAGTGTTCATGGCACTGATCCTGCTGCCTCACAGGTATGTTCTGAGGCTTGGCAGGGATTACAGCATTCTGTATTTATGCAAACAGTAGTGCCAGGCAGCAGTAACATATGAAGGATGGAGGCTGGAGGTTTTAAAGAACAAGATGTAAGCTATGGGAAGAACCTCAGAGGAAGGCAGCATTTGGGGAAATTAGATCCTTGCCTGTGCTCTTACAGCTTGACACTTCTTTGCTGCCCACAGAGTGCTTATTAGCTCAGGGAGGGTTTCCTGCTTTAGAGAACTGGGATACCTCTTGACAAAGTAGATACTAATTAACTGAAGCTAAGCTCCTCTTTAAATTCCAGGTAATCTTGTGAGCTGATAATGAAGAGGAAGAAAGCATTTGGGAAACAAAGAACACAGACTAGAACTACATGTAATGACAGGAGTGTAAGACTGAATGAATCAAATTCATCTATCTTATGGAAAGCTCTAGAGCATATTCATAGATTTCAGTTACCTCCTGGGTGTAAAATAGCATCTGACAGGTTGTTACAGGTATGTCTAGTGTATCTGGCACTACTATAACTTTGAATAAGCACAGGAAACAAAGGTACCATGCAAGCCAAAGAAATGGATGGTGAGAGAGATTCAGGAGCAGCAGCAGTAACAAATGGGAAGCCGCAAATCGTCCACATAGGCTGGGTGACTTCCTCTGCTGTCCTGATACAGCGTAGTCTTTCAGTTTATTCTCAGTTTGAGCAAATGGTATTGATATACCATTAAACCTCTGCTTATATATCATTATACCACATACTCATTTGAGTCTGGTTTGCTTCTGTATGTGCCACAGAAGTGTCTAGTAATGATCATGCCAAAATGGAGTCTGACACCTACATTGAAGTACCTGAACAATTAATTTTTTGTTATTACTACTGTTACTATTCTAATGCTATTTTGGTATTAAAAAAAATCAGCTGCATGACACGAATTCAGTTTTTTGCTTGTTTGCTTTCTTCACTACTCCTTTTGATCTGAGTCTCACCGAGGGACTAACTGGTTATAATTGATTGTTGTGTTCTGTGAATCAGACATGAAGTTTCTGTCTTTAAACGAAGACCCCCGGTTTTCATTTCATCAGATTCTGACTGCTGAGCATTGGGTTTTGTTCTGTGAACATCTGCAGATTTCATTCATTTTCTTTAGAAGAGAAAATTTCTCAACAAGACTTTGTTTTACTTATGCCAGAAGTGTCAATGCCAGAGGCCTGAATCTTGCAGGGACTCGCTTTGACTACAGACCGTACTTGCTCAGTAACTTTATTTTGGCAGGAGATATTTTCTGATTTGGCAGCATGGATTTCCTTATGTGTGCATGGAAGTGGGAAACAAACAAACAAAAAAAAATGGAGGTCCATATTTTTAAATAATTTGGGAATGACTCGTAGATACTGAATATGTGAGCACAGATCTTCCAAGTATATGCAAACCTCTCAGACACGCAGGCATAGCACATACACTCAGTCAAATTCCCGTTTCTTTAAATTAGAGAAGAAATCCTATACAGTTTTGTATAACTTTCAGCAAGGTGCTGAAAGCATTAACTGAGAACACATCTCCCTGGAGTGACTGGGGAGACGAAGACATTCACTAAAAACTAGATGAATTGCCATGTTCTCTGAAAGGAATGTCAGTCTTGATGTGATCACTTACTTCTTAGGGTATATTGCTGGTTTGGATTTTGTGTACAAGCCTAGGGTTTTGGATTCAGAAGCTGTTTGTACCTGCAATTTCAGAGGCTATCCTAGGCTACTGAAAACATTGTGCCTAGACCTTAATCCTTTTTTATTAAATTAGCTTTGCAACCTTTCAAATTGTTCTGTACTTAAAAACTGCTAAGACAAAAATAAAGCAGGCCCAGATAAAAATAGCCAATGAAGTAAAAATACTGGGTACTGAATTAAGTGAAATGCATCTGTAAGCAAGCACTACAACATTCTGCAGTGGTATTTTCAGCCTTTTCCTTAACCAGCCTAATAACTGATATTTGAAATTAAAGTAAGATCAAATCTTCTGTAAAATTAAGAAGTTTTGTGTTTACCAAGTACATTTTACCAGTTTCTATGGGTACTTCTAAAATAATTAGTCATTAATAATTAAGAATTCATTTGGCTAATGCCTACTTCAGAAAAAAATAAAATACCACTCTTACAAATGGCTGTGAAGCAGCCTAATAAAGTGCGGAACATGTCACCTAACAATTAGTACTATTCATTACCCCAAATAAGAGAGTCTTTGTCACTGTAGCAACTGAGGATGTCATTGTTCTTTTCAAGATGGAGAGACTTCAGCAAAACCATTAGTATTTCTGAGAGCTGGATAATTCTATGCAATAAATTTGTTAGTCTCTTATTCAAGCATATGTTGTAGGGGCCAAACACATTCTTGTTCTTGTCTTCACACATACTCGCATCTACTGAAATCCGCAGGAGCTGGGTTCAGTCAACAGTAGATTTTAATACTGCTGAACAAACATGGAAGAGCCAGGGACATCTGCAATAAGGAAGTGTTCACTTAAACTTCATAACCCTGCACTATCCAATGCCTTCAGCAAGAAGCTGAACAATCAGCTTCATATGAAATGGGCTATATCTGCTTTTCCACAAGAGCACTGTTTACTTATGCAGCCAAACAACTTACCTTGGAAAAGTACGACTTCGAAGTTCCTTTATAAAGACTTGACTCCCGTTCTGTACAGGTTTGACCTCTGTAGTCTGTCCAGTATCGTGTTTATGCCAATTTCTTTTCTTTTTCACTGAAAAAGAATGTGTTGGACAGTAGCATATGCTAAGTAGAAGAAAATTATTAAAACATTTGAAGGAAGGACAAATCTTCATGGCATTTCTTAGGTGAGCAGAGAAGAGGGGACCCCCACTAAGCTGCCATGAAAATTTCAGTATTGCTCTCGGTTCACCATTAGATACTTATACTGTAGTCTGAAGATCTATTACATACTGAACAGTGTTCGTTTTGTAACATAAGGGCAACCAGACGGATAATTACTGAGCTGCACAGCTATCACAGGCTTCATGCAAACACAGGCTCTGGACATTTTGTACTTGTCAGACTACACACTTAATCCTTAGGAAAGACACTTTTCTGCTCTGTCACTACGTCACATAGGTCTTCATGAACATATTTGTTATGAATTACCTTTGTCTAAAGGTCTGTCCAGCACTGGTAGGTTTGATATCAATTTGGAAAGGCTTTGAATTATGCCCTGCACACAACATGCACATAACAGGAAAAAAAAAAAAAAAAAAGACGCAAGGGCACCACAAATGCCATTTTTACAACTTCTCTTATTTCTAGGATTGGAAAGGCAAGCCAGGTTTATGCATTAACTTGATACCATCAAATAGAAGGCCCCTTATGCTCCCTGTGGATTACTGACATATAGGCGAGTTTCTCATGGAAAAAGGGTCAGCTGAAATAAGCACAAATAAGCAAGTCAAATGTCTATATAGTTCTGCCTTGCCTCTGACAGCCAGATAACACAAAACGAGAAAAACTAGTCCAGTTTTTATCTTAGTCAGCATTAGCTCTCTCAGCTATTCCTATTTCCACAGTCTGCTTGGACATGCTCATTTTTGCAGTACACTGTACTGTCCCAAGTGCATAGTCATAAAGTTTCAAGAACCATTAGCAGAATATTCATACATCACAACTTTTTTTACCCCTCACAGAACTAAACCTTTTACCCCCAAATCAAGATCTCCTCAGCAGCCATGCCTGGATGGCACTCTTTCCTCACACTTTGCACATGCACACACACATATCCACATACTTTTTTGTTAAGAAAGGAATCCGGAGGCCACAGCTATAAGACATACGGTTCGGAACAAGCTAACTTTTTCCATTACATCTACCAATGAATCCACCCCGGGTTTTGCACAAAGCATGTTGGTTTTATTAGTTCCATGCAGCTCTCCAGCCTAGCTGGATATATTCATTAAAGCTGCTAGTTCTTTATCTTAATGACTCTCAGGCTTAGTGTATTAATTCAGTGCTCCTGGTAACAAAGGAAACAAGCACTACATGAATGCCAAACCTTCCTCCTCTTCTCTCCTTCCCAGTGAGTGCCCCCTCCCAACAGAGCCATGGAGCACAGGGACTACTCACACAAGTCCCAGCAAAACAGGTGTTGCTTGTCACAGTGACGATTAAAGAGCTTATCATATTAGCATGTTCTTTTATTCTATTTCAGATAGCATGGCACATTGAGAAATAAAAGAGGCAAATCAGCATTATCTGAGAAATCCACCGCAACTCTCCAGAAAGCACCAGGGAGCTATTTCCTTGGGTACCGGGAGCCGGTAGGCATCCACCTCTCACGCAACGACAGCAAGCAGCATCTGCCGCCAGAACTCTCCACAGGAGGTGCTATCTCAGGGATCACAGCAGTCCGGCTGCTGTAGGCCATTATGCTACATCAAACAGTCGACATTTGGCCCATTTTCAGCCATTCTCTTTATGTTTCATCTTTACCATGAGCACTGCAGTAAGGATTAAAGTCCATTAACATGTGCAACAAATACTAGCTTTGGCCAAAAAGAGGACTTTTTCTTAAATGATTACAGATTTCTTTGTCTGCAGAACTTTCTGATCAAAATTTGACCTTTGAAAAATATAACCCTCTCCTCTGACAGAAAACCCTCCAGAAGAAAGAAGGAATATATTTTCATGATCTGAAAATGTATAATTCTAGACTTCAAAGGTGTACTTACAGTTTTTCAAATGTATTTATGATGAAGGGCTACTTAGAAGCACCATATTAGTTCTCTATTGACTTACATGAAAGGCTGTAACTGTTTAAAAACAGTTTCAGCCTAACTTTGGTCTGCTTGCATCTACGTAACTTCCCTGATTCCAGAGAACTTACCCTGATTTTCACTGCTGCAAAACAGACAGCAATCAAACCAAACATTTCAGACTGTGTTATGAAAATGAGTCAAGTCTGCCTTAACAAAGCACTTACATTTTATGTAAATGATGTCAGAAAAATTTTTGTGAATGTGTATAATTTTTCCCAAAGAGAAGTCCCTACAAATTTCATTAAAGTGAAATGGCTTAAAATGTCATATGACAGGAAGCAATTTTCTGAAATAGTAGCCACTAAGCCACATTGGTAAAGTGGAAGAATGTAAGAGGAGGAAAATGATTTTAAAATTTGACATCTGGAAAACATATATTGTGGAATGTGTGCTCCAGAAATACACATATATTTTTAAATCCAGACAAGTTGCATAACAGACAATTGGTGTCTGTGTTTCCCTTTGCTAATCTTGCAATAATTAAATCCTACCAGTGAACAACTGGCTCAGGAACAACACTTGCTCATTTATTACAAAACTGATACTGCTAGATAACTCATTTAAACATATATTGGAACAGTTAATAAACAAATGAATCTGATCATCTTGTGGAAGTCCCAACAGAGGCTAAGTGCAGTGTAGCAGGATGTACTGCATACAAATGCCTGCCAGAACGAATGCATTAAGTCAAGCTGTTCCTGCCTTCATTTACTTGGTCTTTCTATTTTCTAGCCTATTGCACTCCGCAAGGAGGGGCTACAGGATAACAGCCTATTTTTTCAACAGAATCCACGATTCTATTGGTTAATGGTGAAAACTGCTACGCAGCTTGAGGAACCTGTGATCTTAGACCAAAACTGAAGGTAAGTTAATCAACAACTAATGTTTAAATGTTCCCAAGATCTTTATATGTAACTACTCTGATGGCTGGTCTTGTACATCATCTAACTTTCCATAATGTAGAGAGAAAACAAACTCATATTGATCTATGGGAAAGTTATATAATGTTCTGTATTTCTATGACACTGAACACTGTAACTAGTGACAGTGTTCTAGCTCCACTTTCTGCCATGCTGCACAATGCAGACTGAGGGACATACTGCCAAGTACAGATTATATCTGCAGTAAAAAGAATTAAATAGCCAAAAACCTTAAAGCATCAGAAGACTGTCGTTAGTTTAAACTCTCCTCATCTTAACTAGTATATTCAACTTGTAGTCTTTTTAATCAAAAACTGCCATTTCTAAATTCTAAGATTATGCACCACTGTTTTTAACAGGATTTATATTTAATTCCTGATGGTAGATTTTGGCTACTTCTGTCTGATTTCTCCCCCACACACACATACTGAAAAATAGGTGTCTTTCACCATTCATAGTTCAAAGCAAAGTGGAAGAAATCAAATCTCAATGTCATACAAAACTCTCAGAAGTCCTCTGCTTTCTCTCCTACACTGGCTCAATAATAGCCTCAGAGTATCTGTAGCTATACATCCCTTTTCAAGGCAAGCCATTGTAATGTCAAATTGCTTGCTTTAACATCACTTGTGCTTATTTGTTTGAACAATTTCCAGTACATTTGTCAAAAATCTTCCAACAAAACTGATTAATTTAAATCAAAACATTTTGTGGGGACATACTGATTTTGTTAAATCCTTCAGGACTTGCCTCCCAATTTTTTTTAATTTATTTTTTTGCCAGTGTGCCCAATTTGTGGGTGCCCTGCTTGGACCAGTTGTTAGCAGACCATCTGGGTGACAAGAACAGCTGCAGATTGTCCAGGTTTCCAGTTCACACTTTATTTTGAAAAAGAGTGGAAAAACAATTTCATTTTTTGACCTCAAAACAAACATTTCAGACCATTCCCCTTTCCTCCAAGATATTTTTTTTTCAACTTGAATTTTGAAGACAGTGAAGGAATAATTAGCTGGTTTTAGTATTACTGAGTTTTAATACAACAGAAATCAGTTTCCACCCATCCCTGATTTCTCACTAAAAAAGAAATGTTCTGATTCTGTGCTCATGGGAGATGAGCACAGTGCTTTTCCTCTGTGTGTTGCATGTAATGTTGCAAAGGAGCAAGAACATCCACATCACTGTTGCTTATTTACAATAAATGGCTTTCAAGTACAGCATTTAATCTTACAGCAATTGGTTTCTTTTCTTTTTCTTTCCCATTGTGTAACAGAAAGAATTTGTGAATTAATCTGACCAAAGGCAAACACAGTTACAATTCTTTCCCAGACAAAGCTCCCACTGAGATCAACTGTCACTTTTACTCAGGAGAACTTTTACCTGTGAAATAACAGCAAGAATTGGCATCCCCAGTGCATCCTACAGTTTTGACTGCCACTGAAATTGCTACAGTTTTATACCCTGGCAAACCATAACATATTGTTTCTTACTCTTCTCATCAAAAGACAAAAAACACCACACAGTTTCCGAAAATCACTGTATTAGACCTTTGTCTAGTCCACAGCAGTAAGTGCCTCATGACACTTAAGGGAGGACGCGCTATTTTCATCGCAGACTGGGGACTGAAGCAGAAGAGGTAAGGTACCTTGCATCAGCTCACGCATGCTGCCTGAGGCCAGGTGAGGCTGGAAGCTAAATTCAGATCTCTAGAATCCAGTCCATGATTCCCCCCCTCCCCCTGATGCCTCCTTTTCACCTCATGTTTTGAATTCCCGTTTTTATGACACAATCTATTTAAATGTGTCTTACTGTAACAAAACAAAAGGAAGATTCTTTTGTTTAAACATACAGAATTTGTCATCTGTCTGAGGACCAGCCGTGCAAGTATACTTACAAGTAGACTTTCCATGGGTTTTCTCACAATTTGGACAGTGATAGATGTCAATGTCTGGTGCCTCCTCTTCTTCAACGCCCACACAGCTGGAATATTTAAAAGCAGATATTACATTAGCTTGAGCCAATTTCCAAACATGCAAGCACACAATTAATAATAATAATAAAAAAAAAAAAACACCACCCTATAAGCTGTGCATTTACTATGCAGCTATGCTGACTGCTAACGGCTATACCCAAGCAAAATTTAGCTGCTCTTTACACTAGTACAGTCTGACCGGATTTTCTGTAGCCTACGTTCCTGATGTGGTGCTAAAAAAGGTGGCTTTCAGGAAGCCACTTACCAGCTCACTCTGGACTCCCCATTAAAATGTGGCCGAGTCCCCAAGAATGTTTTTTTCCTAGGCAGACCACTTTGTACCTACACAGAGTTCTTCAAGTACCCTCCCGCATAAACCTAATTAACAAAACACAGCTTCACCAAGCATGTATGGACAGCTGCTAGGTACTGGAGCACTCTGCCAAGGTATACCATATACAAGGCTTCTGTAGGTTCCCTTTCTATTGCAATATCTGAAGATGAAGAGGCAAAGAAGACACATAGCTCACAGCACTTCTGGCTGCCAAGAAGATGGGTTGTATCATGGCAGCTGCTTGGAACACCCACTGAGATTATTTTGGATGCACAACATACGTAACAATACAGCGCAGCCTGCGGGCACGCTGTGTGAATGCAATCCAATGGCACAACACAGCACTGGGGGAAAACAAAACTAAATTGCGAAGGAATGAAGTACCCAAGATAAGATGTTGCGCAGCCGAAGCGCTGAGCAGCCAGCCAAATAATCAAACTCCAGAATGGCACCGTTCCTCCAGGAGGAGGCAAAGCAAACAGGATTCTGCTCCTGCTTGTTCTGTCTGAAACAGCCCAGACTGCGAGGCGCATTTTTGCAGCACATACACGAAAATATCCTTCAACTGCCTTGCAGAAAGCTGGGGGTTGTGAGAGCCCTCGTGCGATGGCTCCATGGGAGCTCAGCTGGGCAAGAGGAGCCATGAGAGGCTCCTCACCAAGGCAGCCTCACCTTGACCATCAGCACAAACAAGGCTGGATCACACCACAACAGGAGCAGCCTTGGAGTTTCCCTGCTTCAACCCTGAAACACCTTCTCCATGCTCTTCGGTTAGCAAAAACTCCAATATATCTCTTTTGCCAGGGGAAGGGTTTGGACCCATATCATGGAAGTGTCATCTTGCCATCACGTGCACCACCTGCCTGGCCATGTGGAGCTCAGAGCTCTTGTGACTCTGGGGGTGTGGGTATGTGCACACACCGGCATGCTTGGGGCAGCAGGAGCTGCTTTGAAAAAGTGACAGAAGCATGTAAATCAAAATACACAATGACCCTCTGTGTTTACAGAGGTGGGTTTGAAGCTGCTTTGAATCCAAGCCACGCAGTGACGTGTAACTGTAAGGATCATGGTTACAATCCACTGATCTACTTGCTTTTGAAAACCAGCATCCACAAAAAAAAAAAAAAAAACAAGCAGTGAGTATTCCCCAAAGCTGGAAAATGCCAAAGAAGGTAAGATATGGAAATAAATCCTTTTTTTCTGACCACAAAATAATATTCTGCCAGAAACCTTTGTGGACATTTCCATCCTGTTGTAGCCACCAGTGTAAGCATGGGACCCAGGCCTCGCCAAACTAAAGAAGCTTTGCAACCAAAGTTGCAGAAATTCTCATTTTTGTGAGTTCAGCCTGGCAGCAGAGCTGCAGCAGCACTGCTGGTAAACAAAACTTATTTCTGAATCATGTAAAAGTAATCACAGATTTAGCTGATGCTTTTTGGATTAAACAGTTGCTTGAAAAAATACAAAATCACAGGGTCTCCCTGGGCAGACAGCATGGAAAACTGAAGAGTAAGTTTGCAGACAGGAAAAAATCATCACAACAATCCAGTCCTCAGAGTCAAGTACGTACAGGCAATAAATACCAGATTAAGCAGTAGAAAATTTAAACAAACCCTGGCAGATTAGAACAAGCGTAACAGAATGTGGAGGATTCCTCTGCTCGTAAAGCTGCATCAGCTGCTTATGCCACTGGGTTCAGCTTGTCAGGCTTTGTAAAGGTATGGATTAGGCTCTATACAAGGGCTTGAAAAGCCTATATTTAGCTAAACTAAGCAGATGAGACCCTTGGGCACTGCATGGATTGCTACAGGAGATATGAAAAGCTACTGCAATGGGCAAAGGCTTCAGTGTGGTGGGAGCTATTGTTCTGAGAGCAAGTAAAAATATTTAACTAGAACAAAATGGAAGAGTAAAAATAACTGACCTCAAACTCAGATGGTTCTCTGAAGGCTGCAGTCAACTCTTCCAACACAACACGGCTTTTGAATAATGATTAGCCACTTACAGCTACCAGCAGCCAGAAACCACTACCCTTACTGCACCTGAAATTGCAGGTACAAACTTTCCAAGCGCTCACCCCTATTGAAATGACTCTGATGATCATTAACAAAATTATGAGCCAGCTCCAGTTCAGTCCCCTTTTCTCAGTGAACAGAGCTTGACTTGCCAGACGCTTCCACATGAATGTGGGCACAAAAATTGAATTTCCATAGTTAAAGACGCACGATCCCCAAAGAAATTCCTGCCAGCACAGGAACAAGGACTGGCTGCTGGGCTGCCGGCAGCTCCACTGCAGTGGCCTGTCCCTGAGTTCGTATCAAAAGCACATTTACACCTGTGAAGGGGGAAGACGAGGAGCTCGCCAGGCCAGCCTTTGGCAGAGGTCAGCGCAGGGTCCTGTAGTGGTCTCCTGCCTAACTTACACGTGTATTTTAAACTCGAGGTGGCTAATTCACAATAGAATAAAATCACATTCCTCTAGGTGAATAAAACCATTTCAGTCGACTGCAGCTGAACAGTGCTGCCCTTTCCCTCAAGCCCTGTCCCCCCCCCCAAATTTTAGCACAAAAGGTGCATTGTATTTTGTATCTTTTTTTTTTTGCGAGAATGCTCCACTTTAGTCTCTCCAGTTTCTCCTCTCTCTCGCCCTTTTTTTTTTTTTTTTTTGTCCTATTTGCCTGAGAGAAATGCAAACACTCTTTTTTGAGTGGAGTCGACCATTTGACCCCCTACAACGATCAAACGGGCTCCAAGTTAGACAATGCCGGATCCCACGCGGCGTGCCTGGGAGCAGCCTCCAGCAACAGCCCCTGCTGCACCGATTCGCACATTAATCTGTCAATATGAGCCCTGGATGCATTACCATCAGCAGCAAAGAACTGGAAAAAAAAAACCTCTCAATAGCACTTTTGTGCAATTATTCAGATCTGCCAATGAGATAAAAATGGACACGGGAGGTTCAGCAAAGGAACTGCACTTGTAGTGTCGAGGCAGAGCTTACAAAAGCACAGTCTGAGCTGGAAATAAACTGGGGGAGCAGGAACGCCAGCCAACATCGCAGGACAGACACAGCTGCCAGCCTCCTCACAAGCTGTTCCCCACTTGCAGAGGCAACAACTGCACGGGACGCACGCAGCAGGAGCCGGCCTCTGCCTGTGCTGGGCCCTGCTCTCTTGCAGCATGAGGGGAGGAGAGGAGAAAGGTGAGCACAGGCCGGTGGCCCCAGCAGGTAGGCTCCCATGGGCCAGGAGGAGATGGAGAAGGCTGAGTAGAGAGACCCTGCAGCTTCACAGGGTCGGAGGGGAGAAGCTGTGGAAGATGGGCAGGGAGCAGAGGGGCAGGCAGCAGCAGGCAGAACGGGAAGCAGCTTTCAGAACGGCAGCAGGAGCAGGCTCCTGATTCATTTGCAGATTCATTTGTATCAGCAGGCCAAGAATTGGTTTCAGAAAGCCCGTAAAATCCCCAAAACGGCATACTGACATCCCAAGAAGATCCCCTTCTGCTGCAAGAGCTCACAGACCAGGTGGCACAGCACTTACCCAAAGCAGTCTGACAGAGGTGGTTGAACACAGTCCTGTGTGCACAGCAAGGGTAACCCACCGCTGCCTGCAATTTCACACTCAAACGTGTGCAGGTACGAGGGGGGTGTCCTCTGTACAAGTATTTACAGCCCCCCTGACAGTTCTCACTCTCTGTGAACCATCTCTAGCTACTGCTTCTTAACTGGGTAACAACTAGGAAGTTTCGCCAGACCAAGTATGTTGTTCCCAGGAAAAGCATCAGGTTCCCAAAGCAGATTTGAAGGAGAAAACTTAATATACAAAGGCTAAGGAAAAAAGGGAAAGAAAACACTCCCCAAGATGTCTTGCAAAGACGCTGTGGCATGGGCACAAACAGGTGAGAGGCTGCAGCAGCAAGATGCCAGCTGGGAAGCAGGGCAGCAGCCGGAGCTGGAGGTTACGGTGCAAGTCACGGCAGTGCAGATGCTGGCAGCACAGCGGCCTCAGAAAGCACGCGCCACATCTTTGCCCAAGTGCAGTAAAGCTAGAAGAAGAGGTTAATTGTTGTGTATCCAAGAATATCTCGTTGGGATGATTTAAAACAATGTAATGGTTGACTTTAAATGTTATTAAAATAATTTAGCTCAGGTTGAGGCAGTGTAAAACTAATTTGATCATCAGATAAAAGCGAAGCACTGTTATTGATGCATTTGGATTTTACCAAAAGTGTCATAGGCTAATAATAATAATAATAAAAGTAAATCATTTGTTACTGTAGCTGTTTAAGCTGATATATCGCACATTTTACAGTGACTTAAATGAGAATTAGCGCTAACAGAAGCATTTGCAATCAGAGGTTAGAAATTACATTTTTATTAGAAACTTTGCCCTTTGCCACTTTGAAACAAAATTGCTCTTGTGTTCACAATGAAGAGATATTCAGATTTTAGTATTCTGACAAAGTTAATGACTTTTTATTATTGTTGCCTGCATATAAAAGGTGCATAAATCTGAACTGTTTTTATAGCATGAACGTCTATGAGGAC